ATCGGATTGTACGGCGTACAAAAACAGAGGCATGCCACGCCCACATCCAGTGCATGCCTTGTCAACCACACTGTCCACATCTGGCTAGCAATATTTCAATTACCAATTACCTCCTGACTGATTGACATTTTTTCACTTTAAGCCACCCAATGCCTGAATTACAAATAAAGAATATTGTAGTTTCTATTTTGTATTGCTTTGTTTACAACAGCCTCAAGATATTTTAAATGCTATAGATGAAACATTGAAAGTATATGGGCGAATAGACTATCTTATAAACGGTAGGTTTTTCTTATCTATAGTAGGCCTATGTATTATTAAATGTTTATCTGATGGCAATATGGAAATTATGAAAAAGTACTATAATGTTACTCATAGAAAATATTTGGTAGATATAAATTCTTTCATAACATTAAAAAATCACAAATGTTGGAGTGGTCCATGTTAACTATTAAAAATCTAATCTTAATTAGCAATAAAATTTTTACAATTATCAGAAGGATAACTGCTAGTCACTGCTAATGAACAGAACAATGTACTCATTCTATAATAGTTATTCTCCATAAATAATTGACTATATGAATACCACTGAATAGAATAGCATATGCATTGTTTTATTATTTTTAAACAGTGACTAGTTGTTGCTCTCAAAATGTCACAGCCGTATTTTAATTTGCAAATTAAAGTAAAATGATTTGTATTTCGGATTGTGCACTTTTGTGACTATTTTGAAATAAGACAGTGTTTAAATATAAACAAATGGCTAGACTTTTACTTTAAACATTTTGCTTTCTTTTTTTCCTAGGAGCTGCAGGAAACTTTCTTTGTCCACTTGAGAGTATGTCGTATAATGCATTTAAGACTGTAATTGAGATAGATACATTGGGAACGTTTAATACAAGTAAAGCTATGTATGAAAGATACTTTAAGGTAGATTTGTAAAGAGTAAATTCTGGAGATCAAAATGCAAATTTTACTTAAGTATGATAGGTGTATGTAACTTGTTAATGAATGGTCAATAGTTTTGTTCCGCACCGAAAAACTGAGAACATATCTATTACAGCCACTCATAACACATTTGGGGAATTAAGGCACCCATGAATTAAATTTATATTGGAGCCTTCATATATCGAAAGGAAACAGTTTATGAATTACATGATATAGTATATATTTATTTACCATAGAGATCTCTATCTTCATGTGTATGTTGACATTTTTACTGGACAATAAAAAAGAATTAGCCTACGATATAACTGAACCTTTCATTTCGCTTCAATGGATGGACATGGTTTAACTGAGTTCAAGCAAACCCTAAATTTACCCAGCTATTCTACCTTTGTTGAGTTTTAGTGATTTGTCCTAGCAACGATTATCTAGTCTACTGAAAATGGCAAAAATATTCATCAGTTGGTAAAGAGTAATTCATAACAGAATACAAATGTAATAAACACAATTATTACATTGAATATTAATTAATGACATTGTATAATTTGATTCCAGAATAATGGTGGAGTGATTATTAATATAACAGCAACTCTACATTATAGAGGCCAGGCATTACAAGCACATGTAGGTTCTGCTAAAGCTGCTATAGGTATGTATAAAAATTTATAATTCAAAGGAGCCATTTTAGTGAATGAAACTAGTTAACTCCCCTCATCCTGTTTTTACCAAAGTTATTATAGTGATAAGTGTTCACTGTGATTGTCAAGACATTCCTATAATTGAATAATGAAATACCTTTATGAAAATTTAGCTATCATTTTCAAACCACTCAATATTTTGATCTGAAAGTGAAAATGTCAAACATGGTAATTGGGTTGTTTCTTCCTATTTTTTTAATGTTTTTCGGAAATGGCAACATAACTGCGGAACTGAAGGCCACATAATGCTGAAAATTGATAGGGTTTGTTCTCTCATTGATCTCAATAATGCTTCACACCGAATTTTAAAAAAATATGTTAAAAACTGTTGCTTCTATCAAGTTAACAATGTTTGTATAAAAGTGGGGATCCCTTTGATGCAGAAGGTCATAGAATGCTGGAAATCAATATGGTTTGTTCTCTTATGACTCTAATGCTTCACATCAGCCTCTGTAGCTTCTATCCTGTTAACAAGCCAACTGTGGATGTATAGAAATTGACTTCTATTTGGCTTAGATTTGTCATTCGCAAGCTGGTGGATGTATCATTTTGCTACCTTTCAACTTATCTCAAGTGTCTATGTTATTTTTAGAAACACTTACACGCCATATGGCAGTGGAATGGGGACCTGATAGAATCAGGGTAATGTGTGTAGCACCAGGACCTATTGCTGATACAGAGGGCATGAGAAGACTAGGTTAGTAAATTACATTTCACTTCATAATGTATTGAATGTATTGGTACAGTAGAAACGCAGCCACTCCTACTCAGCGACATCTCCTTGTAAGCAGTCACAATAAATTCCCCCCGTAAAAATTCTATTGTTTCATCTCTTTATTCAACAGTCACTCCTCTAACGCGGCCAGCAGTCACTATTTTACTAATAAATTCAACAAAACATCGCCCATTCAACGGCCATTGTTGAATGATACCCTCTTGTTGTTCTTTGTAACACCCCCACTAATCCCGTGAGTAGTAGTTAATTAACTAGACCCCCACTGATCAGGTAAAAAGAAATGTAAAAAGAACAATCAACCCGAATTAATCTTTTGTTTTATTAAACGACTAACCTGATCATTGTTTTCACGCGTAACGACACATTATTTGATACTGATTGAATAAAATAAAAGTACCAAGTTTTGTCACGATCATCTAGTATCTCTTTTCCATTGCCACTTTGTTGTTAAACAGACGTTTTAGCGCCTCCTATAATATTACATACAGAGTTACACCCCCTGTAAATAGGTGATAAAATCAGCGATGTTAATTTGTTCATGTGCTTTTTTGATAAAATAAAATTAATTCATCGATTTTCTTCACAAAAATGGATAAATATTATCAAATGCATAACAATGGTAGAGAGTAGTATCGAAGGTTGGTACAAAATGATAAGTTTACAGAAGTTATGTCCGAGACTTGAGTAAAGAATTTTCGTTCGGCGCAAGATTCAGTACGGTCAAATTTACTGATGCAAGTATTGATGTTCGCTTTCAATGCATCCAAGTGTAATATTTAATTTATGTCAGCACAAAAAGCACCGAGATTTTATTAAAAGGCCACTCACGTTAAGCGGTCAGTTGTGAAAATTCCCTTGGGTGGCTGCTTAATGCAGATTCTACTGTACATGAAAAAAATGTAAAGTTAGACTTTCCCTTCTTTTTTTAAAAGTAATCTCACAACTAATAAAGAAATACATGTACATAAAATAACTTTATTGCTGTCTGTTGGAAACATATTTGAATTCAGAAAATATGTACCACAACTTCCAAAAGTCTTTAACTTGAGGTTACTGTAGCTAAATATTCTTGTACTTTTTTAAGCTGGAGGTGTCCTACCTGAGGCCTTAACACAGGGCATTCCAATACAGAGAATTGGAGAGAGAGTGGAAATAGGAAATGTTTGCTTGTTCTTAGTAACAAGTATGGCAGAATTACTAACTGGAACAGTTGTAGTTGCGGATGGTGGTTCTTGGTTGGCAAGTTCAAATGATTTTGCTCAAAGGTCTAAATTATTTACTAGTGTGTCAAACAGTTCAAGATCTAAGTTATAGTACATTGGTTACTATAAATATGAAAAAAGCTCAGGGGTAAAAGTTTCATTTTTTGATTCTTATGAGCATACTGTCCAAACTGAAAATTAAATTGCATTTAGAATTTTTAAACATTTTTTTATATGCCCACATTTTCATTTGAATATATCACCTTTACTCCCTAATGATGGTTGAGTTCGAATTTCGCGAAAATCAGACCAAAACTGACGAATGAAATGGCCACCCCTCGTACGCAAATAGTGTATATATGGTATATCAAGGTTGTGGACACTCTAGAGGCCACAATTTTGATCCAATTTTGATGAAACTTGAAATACATGTTTATAACCTGAAGATCTTGGATCCTTTTGATATTCATGTATATTGGATCGTAAGTTCCTGAATTATGGCCCTTGATTGTACGAAAAATCACATTTTTAGCTTTTGGTTCCTCTAGAGGTCCCAATTTTTATCCTAATGAAAAAAACGTTTGAATATTTCACTGTTACACCTTAATGACGGATGAGTTTGAATTTCATGAAAATCGGACCAAAACTGCTGGACAAAATGGCCACTCCTCGTACCCAAATAGTGTAAATATATGGTATATCAAGGTTTTGTACCCTCTAGAAGTCACAATTTTGATGAAACTTAAAATATATCTTTATAACCCAAAGATCTTGGTTCCTGTCAATATTCGCCTACATTGGATCATAACTTCCTGAATTATGGTCCTTGATTATTGTACGAAAAATCGCTTTTTGTTTAGCTTGTTCTCTTTCCATCTCTTGCAAAATGTGGGCGTATCCTACCTGGCAGCCGCTGGTTCTTTCTATATGTCATGCAGAGTTTTGTAATCCACAAAAACAAATTAACTATTTCTAATAGAATAAATGGTATTATGTAAATCTGTGAAAAGGTAGTAATAAAGTGGCTATTGATTATATAGTGCTTTAACAGGTGATATATTGTTACATATTTATGGGTGTTTTTGCTAATAAGTCCTAATGAGAAAAAACTATGATATTACAATAACTGATTATCATAATGATTGTTACATGATCAATGCATGTTATTTAATCAAATAATTGTTACATTTTATTGGATAGTAAATGTGATTTTGACAGGTAAATTGATTTGAGAGGGTTGTGATTGTGCATGTTAATGTAACACATGTTGAAATACATATTTCTATTTTAAAAAATATATTAAAAAGATAAATATATAATAAATTTTATTATTGTAAAACTTGTAAGGTTTTGTTTTATTATTAATCCAAGCATATGAAATGATTTATTATAAAAATTGTAAATATATGAACTAATTTATTATGCTTGATCAACCTGCAGTCACAAGGCAATCTACAGGAGGAAATCTGGAATGCTTTGCCTAAAGGATATGGGTTCAATTACAAAATTTCAATTTAGAAATCTGTTTATAAGCTTTTAACAATGTGGGAAATTTTTCCACGGCATAAGCTCATCAGTCAGAAATGGATCAACTTCTCCTCCAGTAATTGTCAGGTTGGGTATCAGAGTTGTCAAATGCATGTGGTTTAGATCATAAGGTTTGCCACTGAATCAAGTGACGTGATTTCAGACTCTCAAAGACCTGTAGGCACAAGTGAATTAATGTTTGTGCTGGGTGGAGGTTAAAGCCCATGTCTGTCTATCGGATCAGATTTTAAACACTGTCTTCATTAGCCCACTCCGTGCGGAAAATTAGGACGCTACACATAAATCTCCAGTTCTGTTTCAGATGACAACTGTCCCCAAACACTACACTATTTACACTAGGTCATTTCGGTACCAACATGGTACAATTTTATTTCAGTAAGCTTGCATGTAGTGGTCTTTAGCAGATCAGACATACAAATAATAAGTATTAACTGAGACTGTGCAAATCTGAGAGACAACAATACAGATGTGTAATCAAACTGAAGAATGCTCTGGTATGAATCAAAACATGTTTTCCTAACATTATTTTATTCAATGAAAGTTTGCATGATGTAAATAACTGATAAAGATAAATACATTTTATGTATGTCGATTTTAGTAACATACACATTTCTAAAGTCTACAGCTATAGGCCAATGATCTCAGTGCCCAACCAGTACCAAAATACGATTAGTAAGATTACCGACTACCTTTTCATTCAATTCATCTAATTTGTCATCTCCCTTAACGCCCTTTACACAGTTATTATTATTTACAATCCTTATCATTGTTTCTGTGGGTGTGGCACTCTGGCTAGTCCATATAGTAATGTATTTCCGGCTAAACGCTCTTTTTCTTGTAATAGTGTATCTATCTCAGCTTGAACATAAGCATCAGAGTAGTTGAATTCATTACCGATTATAGGATGTGGATGATCACACAGAGAACTTTCCTGGAACAAATAAAAAGGATTAAAGAATTAATATTTATTCGATATTACTTTACTGACACGTTACACCAAGTAGGCAATGCTACGTACCCTTAATATAAGGCCCCGTCCCAGTGGCCGATGGACACAAAACGTATGCAAAAAGGACACAGCAGACGAGCAAACTTTCGGGGGTGGCTCAATACGTTTTCATCCGCTCCAGAAATGGACAAAATTGACGAAAACAGAAAGGAAAAGAACGAACGTGGGAAGTATGTAGCAGGAATGTTCAATGGATGTTCATCGCAAGCCTAGCGGATGAAAGCGGATCTAAGTGGATGACAGCTCCGAAGGGGTTAGGCAAACTCCAGACATCCTTCAATATACCAGATACATCCCAGATACAAACGCTTTGTCCGTTTTGAAAACTTTATATACGAGATGCATACCCTTACATCCTTTCTATTTCCGTGCTACTAACGATGTATAGACGTTCCATGTACCTTATCTTTCCTTCCTCTTTCCGTTTTCAGCTGGAGCGGATGTGAGTTGCGAGGATGCAGAGAGGATACAGTGGACGTTTAACGGATAATAACGGACATGGAACGTTTGGTGCTCGTATATGTCGCGCATTTACATCGTACACGGCAGAAAGTTCATCCGTTATAAAAGTTTTGTGCAGCTCAAAACTTTTTGCGCGGATGAAATCAAAGTGAACGGATGCTCGATGGATAGAGCGTATGAAACACGTATGCAATGAGTACACAACGGATGCATGGCGTTTTCAAACGGAGGGCACGTTTTTTCCCCGTTTTACATCCTCTTTGCATCCGTAAGTGTAGTGGGACCGGGCCTTAAGATAGGTACGTTTCATTTCTCAGGATCGTGGGCAGCTAAAGCAGATTAATCCAGACGGGAGTAAAGGAGAGACCCACGGAGATATCGAAATAAGGGTGGCAAATTATAGGTCGCTAGAAAGGAGGCCGTGAGTCTGTGGGTTGAAGCGTTCTCTAAATAGAGACTTTTGGCAAGTGGAATTTTCCCATCCGTATCACGTATCCGTATCGTATACGTGATATGTTGCGCCAATGTAGTTTTAGAGTTTTGGCAGATTTTGGCGTCGCGTACTTATGCGTCGCTGAACTAAGCTTAGTTCTATTACAGCATCACCACCAGTACTAGTCAAGTGGGCTATTAAAAAATATGTAATGTCGAATCTTATTAAAAATCTTCGACTTCGATTCGACAGCAATTTCTGGTTTCACTAATGTATCATTTCAGAAAGTTTGTACCCCTTTACCATCGAACAAAATCATTTACAGATTTGCAAAGTCCCACCTCCCTAAATTTAGCGCGTAGTTCAACCAGCATGCAGACAGACAGGAAAAGTATGAAAATTCCGAGAAAAACCCATAAAAATAAATGACGAAATTCCAGTCGTTATCGTGGTTAAAATCACATCAAATATACACCTTCGTGTTCTGGGATAGCCTACTCATAGATTCATAAAAACGCTATAACACAACATTTCAGCTTCTAAAAGTAGAAAAAAGACGGTAAAAAAGACGACAATGTTATACGGACCTTTTCCGTATGAAAGCTGATCGATACGTGCTGTCGTATCCGTGTACCGTATCACGTATGAGAAATACACACACATTGATGACGTCACACTCGAAATCTATACGGATACGCGATACGGGCCAGGAATTTACGCTTGCCAAAAGTCTCTAATGTTTGTTTGAGATCCGTGTGCTTTGTGGAACGGATCCCTATAGGTCATTCATGAATTTTTGCTTTTGAAATGCCGACAATGCAACAAAGGCATTATTAACGAACGTCCTACCTAACAAAAATATCGATTTCAGAAAGAGTATTTCCATTTACTAGAAAGAATATACCTTTCATATTTTATAAGAATTGTGAAACGAGGAATCCTGTTCATTTTCAGCAATTTCCGTTAATTACGTCTCGAGTTATGGCCCGATCTGTATGAAATTTATATGCGTTACTTAAATCAGTGAAACGAAGAGATCTGTTAATTTTCAGCTATTTCCGTTAATAATGGCTCGAGTACGTTATGACCCTTGTTCCACTTTGTTGAATCATATTTTACTTTGTTGAACTTTGTGAACGCTCTAACAACAAAAGTTATCATTCAACCTATATAAAATGTGTATGCTGCGTTTAAATTAGTGAAACGATGAAGCCTATTAATTTTCAGCAATTTCCGTTAATTACATCTCGAGATATCGCCCTTGTTTTGACTTTGTTGAACCTTATTTCACTTTGACAGACACCGTGAAAGCCAAAGACAACAGTTATCATCCAATCTGTATGAAAGTTATGTACATCATTTAAATTGGTGAAACGATGAAACCAATTGAAAATCAGCTATTTCTGTTAATTACTTCAATTACGTCTTGAGTTATGGCCCTTGTTTCACTTCGTGGACCTTGTGAACCCTTGAACGACAAAAGTTATCATTCGATCTGTATAAAATTTATATGCATTATTTGAATTAGTAAACGGAAAAAGTCTGCCCAATTCCAGCAATTTCTGTAAATTACTTTCAGAATTAAGAAACCCTTGTTTCAAATTATAGAACCTTGTGAACCCCCAAACAACGAAAATTATGATCTGTATGAAATTGTCTTATAAATGCCCCCCATTACCTCCATATAAAAGAATAAACATGCGACAACCCTTGTCGACCTCCCGGATGATTTAATTGTTGTGGGCGTATGTTTCGTTGCCTGGCAACCTATCTTTAGTAAAAAAAAAAGGTGGTGAGTGGACTTTGGCACTTCCTTTTTAAAACACACACAGGATTAATGTAAAGTTTTTGTTCAAATATGATTGTTTCTTTCCCGTCTTCATTAGCCCAGTCGGTGCAGAAAAGTAAGACGCTAAACCTCATTTCATTTCATTTGATTCTAGTATGTGATCAATAAGATTATCCACATATAAACTTACCAATGATCCTGCAAGATTTGCTATCTGCTTTTGTATATCCATTTTCCAGTTCTGGAAATTAAAAAAAGGAAAAAATGTATCTATTAAAATCGTTTAACTCTTAGCGACTTTGGGGGAGATGAATGGTCTTCGCAATTCGATGTTTGTATAAATCTGCAATAAAAGGGTATAAATGCAAAATAAGTAAATTTCAGATTTTAACCTTTCTATAAACACCTTGATATTAATTTTTGTATTTTGTCTGGTCGGGATATGGTTTGGCTTCAAATTATCGAGAAGAAGAAAAATGTATACGTGTATCCGAACTTTGAAATTGTTTGTCAATCTTTTAATCGTCTATTTACATACTGTTGTGTCTCATATTATGCATGTATTTAAATTTACCACGAAAACAACTTACTTGAAAGATCTCTCTTTTTTCAATGCTCCATTCGTGGGGTAAGGTCCATTCTTCTGGTAATGGCGTATGTTTAGTTTGTGTTGATATGACTGGAATTCCAGTACTACTTGATATTGATGCAGCACCACCACTAGCAGGACGGGCGGCCATGTTATCTCTCAAATGTTAACTTTAAAGACGATTTTTCTGGAGAGGAACCACTGTCAAGTTGAACCTTCGAGAGTTCCAATGTATAATTCTGAAGTAGTTAAATCAAAATGTCAATTGTATCAAGATCTTGCAAACACTTTCTACTCAAATTAACTAACACCAATCTGACCATGATTTCACTTGTATTCGGATTAAAAGACGTGGTAACTAGGGTTTAAATGTAGAGGGTTGTAGGGATTATCGATGTATAGTAACTATATAGGTAATTTACATTACATAAACAGGCTTTTGGGTAAATCGATCCAACATCAATACTCAATAATTAATAGGCTTGGCACATGGCGCCTTGTTAAAGATTCCTACTGATTTATTCAAAACCAAATTGTGTAAATCTATCTTGATAAACAATCTACTGTAATACGAATAATGATGTCTATCTTCAATAGACAGGATATGCCTAGCATATTTTAAAAAAACCCAAAACAAATCTAATCCCACACCTGGATATTTAATGCATTATACAATTAGTGGCAAAATATTAGAATCTGTCTACCACTCACCAATGCAGTGCAGATGCAGTGAATTATATAATGTATTATATACTTTTAAGCTTTTGCTGTACGTTACCTAATATTATTTATGGCCCATTGTCATGTGTGTGTGTGGTATTTTCAACATTTTGTATACATTATTAATATCTGAAGACGCCTATAGAGGACAGACAGCTAGTTTATACGATTTAATGTATGTCAGAATTAAAGATACATTATGGGAGATTAGATAAAGAACTGGCAGTTCTCAATAATAGTTAAAAACTAGATAATGTAAAGGAAATTTGCTGAAAATTTCAGTCAAATTGATCCACTCTGAACCGAGATATTAGGGATTGAATTTTCGGCATACCCTCTATCATCATTACTAAAGTCGGTACGATAAAAATATAGTCTCGATTATCCATTTCATGATTAAATTATGAATGGAAGTCGAACAGCAAATCGGACCTAATCCAATAAACATCGCAGGCTAGCGATGACATCGAGAGTTGATTATGGTCTGGATAAGTTAATTAATGTCTAATTAATAATTTAGATAACAATGTATGTTTAAGTAAAGTAGGGAATTTTTTACCTGGACGAATTTTTCATTTATTTATGCATTTATCTACCGTAAACAGAGAGAGAGAGAGAGAGAGAGAGAGAGAGAGGTTTTGATATCACCTCATAGACGTTTCTATCATGACAATATTACTTTGGTTAAGACATTTGACAAAAAGCATGTTCCTGAACAAAAAGTAACTTCGAATGATATCGTGCTTAAAATTAAGTTGTGGAGTAGTTCAGAAAAAAATCGTTTCTATACCATAGAAATATTATGACATTATGAAAAAATTTTCGTATGATATCGTGCTTAAAAATTACTTTAATATTATCGTTATTGAATAAGTGTGTCGCCGCCGTAGATTCTATAACGAATGCGTCCTTACCGATTGTGGATGAAAATAATATATTGAGACTGAAAGCCGGATAAGAATGTCTCACAAATTCAAACGACACAGTATATTGAATAGAAATTGACTGTCTACGCAAGGTAACAAGCTTTCGAAGTTGGAACAAGATATCTGGCATATTTTTTATACACTCGCATAAAAGGTGCACCGTCAACACGGAACCTTACAGCCTACCCACTTTGCTTCAAAACAGGGTGACGGATAGGCTATTGGTTTGCTTCATCTTTTTTATAAATGGACAAAAGGAAAATAAATAAAACTGAGACGGAAATAATGTTTTCGCTGAAAGTTATTGTCAAGGGGCATATTAAATGGGTATGGGGATAAGGACCGACCATGTCCATGTATTTTATCATGATACACAAAATAAAACGAGGAGCACCAGTGAAATCGATATTTCTGAAATAGGTATTTTTCAAAGTGAACAAACATTTAATGGCATTTCACAGTTTATCTAGAATTGTAACTTTTCATAACATTAGCAATAATAACATGTCGCCCCAAATCGGTTTATGCTCACGAGAATTATCATATAGTTCAAATATATCATGATCAATCACCCGTCATTAACTCTAGTATAATATGCTATAGATTTGTAATTTGAACTTCGTAAAACTCACAAGTATTTTTTTTATGTATGACAAGCTAAGACCGTCCTATATTTACAATAAGGATATTATAAGAAGTGTTTCAACATTTGCAGCTCTTATGCAAATTAACCGGTATTTGTATTGGGTACCGTTCATAATTTTCCACGGATGTATTCTTCAACAATAAAATGTAGAGTAGTTGTCATTTTTGAGACCAGAAAAGAGCCATTAACGCACATTACTGTATAATTATTATCTCTGATTAGAGCTAATCTAATTAAAATCAAATAATCATACTACAACCAGACCCATTTCTCATGCGCTTTGGTTATAAAATTCTCAACGTAAACGACATATGATTTTAATAAGATTATTATAAATTATTAAAATAAAACGCAACGTAAATGCCAAATTTTAATCAGATTGTGATAAAAAAATTTATAATAGTATTAAACGCAAAGCAGACGTAGTTGACGTACGATTTTAATCAGATTGTGATTAGAGTCAATTATTCGTATTTTATAATAACATAGCTATCATCGCTAAATACGTGTACGTGTACCCGTGGAAACGTACAAAAATATTATGCGGCCTTAATTTCGTAACCCTATTTTTCTGCTTGCCTATTTTAGTGGCTATAATATTTAAAGATAATTAGATGTATATGGGATATTTTGTCATGTGAATATTAAATTGTTATGCATGGTTAACTTTAGATTAAAGCCAACGAGTCTCTTATTACCACCATTTTAAGTGATAAGCGTGGCTAAATTACATTATTTATCCGGTATTATCCAAGAGGTTTACCTGACTACAACAGCTATTAACGGATTTAGGATTAAAGAATACATAATAATCCATATTAACTTCCATTAAAAGAAACGACATTGTAACGATACAGGTGAAGAACAAAAACAAATTATGTGACTTAGAGATTATACATCGAAGGCTTCACTAACAACATTGTGTGGTATAGGACTTCGAATGCGTACAGTCATACCTATTGTTGAGGTCTGAAATGGTCCCCCAAATGTGTTCAGTTAAAAACATAGTATGCAAAGAGTGATAGGTCCCCGAATAATGGGAGGAGTTTTATAGTGTTATTCAAGTGCATATGCTGATCAAAAATGATGCGAAAACCGAAAAGTGCTCCCCCGCGGATGAACTCAAAATATATCAGTAGCAAGACAAATGCCAGAAAAGAAATTGAAGCGTGGGTTAAAAAGGATGCCGATCCACTGACTGGAAATTTTGAAGCATCACGAATGTCTGGCCAGCTTACAGATAATGTAACTGAAGAGAGAATGTTAAAATCTAAATTATGGGAACTTTCTAAGGAACGTTATAAATTCCTGTCACAGAATTCATACGATAAAAAAGTTTTCATTGACAGAATGATGAGAAAATCATCTGCAATGCGACGTGTTATGTCAGCAAGACAAAACGGCGAGACACCTGGACAGGATTCAACGAAAAGTCGTACAAATAATGCTCGTTATGCGCTTTTGGAACGAATGGATCCTACTAACAATCGAAAAAAACCGCCGGTACCACCAGGAGACGATAATGAAAAAAAATGCGTAAAATTCACAGAATCAACACTGAAAGGGGCTTCAGCTTCACTTTCGTCGGATTCGAGCTCAGATTCCGAACCCGATTCCGAATCTGAATCTACACCTGTAATACGGTCGAATCTAAGACCCATAGACATGCTGCCTAAAGCCATGGGATCTGTGGTGAGGGAAGTTATTGAACAGAAGATTATCGAAGAAAAGAAACCGTGGTTGGCGCGAGATAACAGAAGTGGTATACGCCGGAAAGTAACTCCCCTTGATTTTAATAAAGACCCGCGATATGCCGATTTACATCACAAACTCTGTCCCGTGAGTAAGAAATCACCAAGCGTTGATATTCGAACAGTGGTCAACAAGATCGAATCACTTCATGTTCAACCGAAAATGCCTAAAGACGGCAAACCGAAAGTACAAATGAAAGCTTTCATGAGGCAAAAAGGTTATGCGTTTCTAAACTAAACGAATATTTAAAAAGACAAATTGTTCAGTATTCTGGGGTTGCTCAAGCATTTGTGCACTTTCAGAAAGGCAGCAAAAAGTTTCCGTTTTCAACACGTGCTCGAGTAACAGAGCCAACCCCAACCTTCAAACAATATAAGCACCTACATTAGGAGTACAAGAGCGCCGTCATTTTGGATTCACTTTGATGTTTGGATTTAATTGATACCATTATGTTTTAGTCTATGTTTTGCTGTCCATTCTTCCTGCATAGTGCATGACATGTGTCAAACACGACAGGCTAATTAAAAAAAAAAAAAAATTTTCGTTCCTTTTTTGTTTTGTTTAACATACAGTAGAAATGAAAGTATAGCATTTTGTCCTGGGGAGATGGGTAGATGGCTCAGTGGGGCTGACTATAAAATGATAATTATTTGGTTCCTTAAGTAGCTTTCCAAGGGGCACCAAAGGGGGACTGGGGCTTCCGAAATTTTGAGGGAAGCACTGGGGTTATGCGATATTCAGCATTCTGCGAATTTCAGTTCCAAAGTTACCCCCATCACCAATTTTTGCCGAGATATCAAATTTGGTCAACATCCAAGTTTTTCTTTCGGATAAGTTGCTGTCGAGACAATAGAGACTTTTGGCAAGTGGAATTTTTCACATCCGTATCGCGTATCCGTATCATCACGTGATACGTTGCGTCAATGTAGTTTTAGAGTTTTGGCAGATTTTCGCGTCACGTACGTGTACCTCGATCAGCTGAGCTTAGTTCTATTACAGCATGATGACAGATATCTACCAAGATCACCATCAGTACTTGTCGCTGAGCTATTAAAAAAATTTAATGTCAAATCTTATTAAAAATCTTCGACTTCGACTCGATTGCAATTTTTGGTTTCACTAAGGTATCATTTCAGAAAGTTTATACCCCTTTACCACAGAATAAAATCATTTACAGATTTGCAAGGTTCCGCCTCCCTAAATTTAGCACGTAGATCAACCATCATGGTTAAAATCACATCAAATATACACGTTCGTGTTCTAGAATACACAAAGATTCATAAAAACGCCATGATACAACATTTCAGAGAGAGAGAGAGAGAGAGAGAGAGAGATAAATGGGGTTTAACGTCCACTCGAACAACATTTCAGCGTCTAAAAGAAGCAAAAAAGACGGTAAAGGGACACGGCAATGTTATACGGCCCTTTTCCGTATGAAAGCTGTTCGATACGTGCTGCCGTATCCGTGTGCCGTATCACGTATGAGAAATACACACACATTGATGACGTCACACGCAAAATCCATACGGATACGGACCAGAAATTTACGCTTGCCAAAAGTCTCTAGTGTTAAGTGTAGGCGTATTTCCAAGCTTTGCGTGGCTATCTTTATTGGAATGCGTGAAAATATATACTGAGCGCCATGGAAAACGCATCACTTTTTTTTCCCAAATATTTTATCACTAGGTGGTTTTGTATGTATAATATTATGCAATACTATGAACTATTGTTTCACACAATGCTCCCAAACGCAAAAAATATCGGCCCGTGTGCACAAAAAAAAATTGCACGAGATGCACATGAAAAACCCAATATTCACGTGCAGCATTGTGTGTGAGCCCTTAAAAACATGTTTTCAACTTAATGTGCAGTACATGAACTGTGAAACATCAATCTGTCGTAATTTGTTGTTGGACGTGTGAACGAATCGAGCTAGAGATGCCGAGACTTACTGAAAATCAACGGAATGAAGCCATGGGAATGTCCAGGGCTGGCATGTCTACACGTGCTATTGCCAGACATTTCAATTGTCATCAGTCCACTATTGTAAGGTTGGTGGAACGTGTTCGAGTTACTGGATCAACACGTGACCGTCAACGTCTTGGTCCACAACGCGTTACAACCCAGGCTCAAGACCGCTACATCCGGGTCACTCATCTGCGTGACAGATTCCGCCCAGCGACTCGAACAGGTACAGCAGTCGTCGGAAGACAAGGACAAGTAAGTGCCAACACCGTAAGACGTCGTCTAAGAGAAGTAGGACTCCGTGCACGACGACCTTATGTTGGAGCTATCCTCAGGGATCATCACCGTCAGCGGCGTTTGATATGGGCTCAAGGACACCAGACATGGAGAAGAATAGACTGGCAAAGTGTGCTCTTCAGTGATGAGAGTCGCTTTCATCTTTATCACGCTGATGGCCGTCAACGTGTGTGGAGACGTCTTGGGGAACGTCTTGCAGACTGCTGCGTCTTCGGAACGAATCGATGGGGTGGGGGAAGTGTAATGGTGTGGGGAGGCTTCACATTTCATCACCGGACTGCCCTACACATTTGCAGGGGTCGCGTTAATGCTGTAGCCCACCGTGATGATGTCTTGCAACCAATTGTTTTCCCGATGTTTCGAGCGCACCCACATCTTCAGCACTTCCAACAGGATAATGCACGTTCGCATACCGCCCGTTTTAGTATGGACTACCTGGCTGCTAACAACATCAATGTCTTGGACTGGCCAGCCATGTCTCCGGACATGGCACCGATAGAACATGTCTGGGATAAGATTGGACGCCGTCTGTATCGGAGACCACAGATGCACACCATTGCTGCTTTAGAAGCTGCTCTTGTCCAAGAATAGAAAAATTTGCCCCAAGACATGGCACCGATAGAACATGTCTGGGATAAGATTGGACGCCGTCTGTATCGGAGACCACAGATGCACACCATTGCTGCTTTAGAAGCTGCTCTTGTCCAAGAATAGAAAAATTTGCCCCAAGCCTTCTTTCAAACATTGGGAAATTCCATGTGACGTCGCTGCACAGCGTGCGTAAGAGCCCGTGGAGGACACACGCGCTACTGACATCTGTGTCGTACTTTTGGTTTTGACCCCTCTGACTTTGTACCCTTGATTAAACATCCATAAGTGTACAAATGTGTTGTTATTGATGTGTTCCCATTTGAATATTGTTCACAATAAGAAATAAAATAAATAAGATATGTTTACAGGATCATTTTGTTATACGAAAAACTAAGTGATGCGTTTTCCATGGCGCTCAGTATATTAGAATAATTGTTTTCCGTCTATGTGATATTTATATATACCCCACACATTAACTAATGAAGCAATTGGAATAAAGGTATTGTAAAATAGCTTTACCTCAACAATATACCTGTAAGCCGATATACAGGGATATGGCGAAAGCTGATTTTGAAGAATGGTCTGGCTTGTACAAAAAGCATATAACTATTATTACTATAAGAAATATGGATGTCAATGTGAAATCAATAGAAACATTAAATGGTTGTAACTTGAGTTAGCATTGAACTACTTGAATAATATTTGGTTAATATGGGTTTTTTTTAATAAAAACAAGAACAGTCTAGTATGATTGTGGTCTAAATCACTATATTTATCCTTTGTCATATTAGGGTTTTCATATAAGATAACCATCCAATTTATTTTATTGTTTAGTACATTTTAAAACTTGCTACTGTGCAAGTAAAATAAAATATAAATTCAATCGGTATTTAATATCAAATTGATTCAAGCAAGGAAAGAATAATCAATTACATGTATATTCAATCGGTTGAATATAAATATGTTAGAGTGGTTCATTACACAATATTCTGACAATGCACTGTGATTTATTACAAAAAATGCAATATTCATGGGGGTATAAATGTGTTTGAAAATAATCTGCAGTCGTTTTTGTTGCGATCGTGGCAACAGTTTTAATATTTAAAATGCAGTTGTATTTTGTTCATGGGTTGACTGTTCTAGGCATTGCAAGTAAGTATATTTAATTAGTGTTATTTTCATATAACAACGCAAATGTTTTTAAGCTACGATTGCTTTTCAATCCGAAAAGATTTATTATCGTGCTTGAAGAACAGGGTAGTGTACTAGGACATCTACTGTTTTTATTATCCTCTAATGATATTGAGAATAATGATTAAATCAGACATCCGATTTTTTGCCGATGACACCCCATTCCATTTAGGAATAAACGACAAGGAGGCATGCGCGATTATTCTTAACAATTACCTTAAAACAATAAAAAATACACGGAAACATGGTTATAGATCTTTAAAAAGAAACTCTAACCCTCGAAATAAAAGAAGTAACTGAACATAAACATTTTTCAAAACAACTGCCAAGCTAATAGCTACATATATAGAGCATTTTTATTAGTCTCAAAATTAGTAAATCGTCTTCGTTCATTTATTCCCCCACCCTGTCAGTTGTGAAACAAAACTTTCTGTGAGAAAAGTGTCACGGCCGTAGGCTTTATCCTTCTCCATGTAATGGAGCTAATTCTTTTTGCACAGAACCAAAAAACTTTGTATTTGTCAGTATTGCAAGTATTTTTTTTTACATTTGACTTGTTGCAATTCACACTGTACACTTAGCATTAGGGATGTAAAACACTTACAGCATAGCATTGACTTTTGACTCAAATACCCCGTCACCGCCCCCCCCCCCCCCCAAAAAAAAAGATACACTGTCTTGTTAAGGTATACAATCTGATTAAAATGCAGATACTAAACAGCAAAAAAAAAAAGAAAAAAAAAAGAAAATAAACAAAAAACGTCAGTACGATTTCAAAAAACGTCAGTACGATTTCAAAAAACGTCAGTACGATTTCAAAATCAGAGAGGCACTTTAATCAAATCATTCTAGAAAACGGCTTACTAAATGGATCAAAGCAATTTTTTGTGAACAGTATGTTGGCATATTAGTGATTAATTCATCACAATTTCAAGACATTACGAGAAGGCTTAATATATCAGTATTTGGTGTGTCCACCGCGAGTGTCAATAACAGCAGAGCAGCGTCTGTACATGCAGTGGACCAGACGATTGATAAACGCCATTGGCACCTGGAACCACACTCTCAGAAAAGCCTGGCGCAATCCATCGGCTGTGTTTGGTCTCGGTACGACGTTATTAAGTCTCCTCTGAATTTCATCCCAAAGAAGTACAATCGGATTTAAGGGTTATATAACAACTCTTCCAGATCCTAGTGAAGTAAAGACTATAAAAACGAAACGAAATAGGATCTGTGCACCTCACGCTAAAAACGGGTGTTTTATAAGAACTCTTCCAGATCATAGTGTAGTAAAGACTATAAAAAACGAAACGAAATAGGATCTGTGTTTTAATCAGTTTGTGTAGAATTAAGTAAATGTATACATTATGTTAGAGACTCTGGCTGTGTTTCCAAATAACCCTTCTGGACATACTGTATTTTTAAAATTTCAGTTTGTTGCTATGCTGCTACAATGCAAAAACGAGAGGTAAATATTCTTACACTTTACGAGAAATATAATTTCTAATATTCAATATTTACATATCTTCTCTATATTAATTAATTTATGTTCTCTATTATGACCATAACTTTTGCGTTGTGGTGCGTTTTACCGTCCAAATTTATCACCCGAAATTATGCCGTGGTTAATTAATATTGCAAACCGAAAAAGGCTTCTCGGCTGGGCGTTTTTGTGATATCCGTGGTTGCAACTCATTATGGAAAACCCGGTCTTTACGAGGACTGGCTGAAAAATTCTAAGCCTGAATAATCAATTGGGTTGAATCAGACTTTTGCCATTGAATGAATCATAGACATAAGAACTGCAACTGTAGTGTTATTATTGTCTTCATACCTACCCATTGAAATCACAAGAAATGGACAAAACTGACCAAAAGCCATAGGGCAGTCATCAAGTACCTGCCACTGAACCCAACACAGATATATGCCAAAATGGTCTCCACTTAAGAGGATGATGCCCCTTCCTTTTCCACAGTCAATGACCGGAGTTCTTGAAGGCCAGAAACAGCAACCATTCAAGAAAACATTACCCTGGTACATGGCATGGTGATGACTGATCGACGATCAATCTGATTAAAACACAGATCCTATTTCGTTTATGGTTCAAAATTTCGCGTTAATTGTCTTCACAGCACTGGGATCTGGAAGGGTTGTTATATAACACGCGTTCTAGCTGATGTGAGGAATTAGCCACTGAAATGGTCTATTACGGCGACTTATTGGCGTTCTCTGCACGGAACTATGGGTAAACCCCTAGAAACGTCAACGTTTATTGATTAATCAATGTCATAGGGTCAAAAGCCGCTCATATGACCCCTGACGCGACCCCCCAGTACAACTGGTCAGATCTTCGGGTAGTGTAGGTCATCGAAAATATAAGAAAAAACGAAACGATATATAGATCTGTATTTTATTCAGATTGACCACTCAAAATATTGCCAGTGTTGTGGGCATCTCTTATGAGAAGGTCGAGCACATTATCGCCAACAAGTGACAAACGTTTCTACAAGATGGTCAGCAAAGCTCTTGACTGTGGATCAAAAGCGTGTCAGATTCCTGACGTCCAGTGACAATCTGTACACCTTTGCAGCAGATCATGGTAATTGTTTGACCAGATTTGTAACCATATAACCTATTGCCAAAAATGAAAAAGGAACTAGTCGGTCGCCAGTTTCCTTATCCGTTCAAATCTAATACCACGCAGTAATTCTGGTTGTGTCATGCGAGGGCTGATTGAAAAGGTTTAAGCCTATCCGTGAAAGACCTGTACTAAGTCCCCTTCGAGGTATTGGGTCTTTAATGGACGGCAAACAGGTGTGACGACAATAAATTAAGATCATATAAAAAGTTGTCCTGTATGTAAAACAGATCGAAACTAGTGCATGACTTACGCTCGTATTACAAACATACATTATGCAAGAGCTAAATCTACCTATTACAGGTCTTTTTTTAGGCCTGAAATGTTATCTGAATTATTAATAAGACATTAATTAACTTATCCAGACCATAATCAACTCTCGATGTCAACGCTAGCCTGTGATATTTACTGGATTAGGACCCCATTTGCTGCTCAACTTTCATTCATGATTTAATCATGTAATGGATAATCGAGACTATGTTTTTTTTCGTACCCACTTTAGTAATGATGATCGAGGGTAGGCCGAAAACTCAATCGCTAAAATATCGGTTCAGAGTGGATCAATTTGACTGAAATTTTCTGCAAATTCCCTTCACATTATCAAGTTTTTAATTATTATAGTGAGAACTGACAGCTCTTTATCTAATCTCCCATAATGTATCTTCAAAGATAAATATTTCATTTAATATTAATAGGCATGTGAGTATGCTGGGTTGAAATCTACACATACTATGTGTATAGAGAAAAATGTTGGTGAAGAAATTCCTGTAGATGATGGCACTCAAAAAGAAATAATAGACAGACACAACACATTAAGAGCTGGAGTTAAACCGTCTGCAGGAAGGATGCCAGAAGTGGTACTGATAGTATATAATTTTTATCTCTGATGAAATTGAATGGAATGGTATAAGTATAGGGTTTAACGACAATTTACTGTGCGACGAGAACTTCACCAACACATTGGCGACCTCCAAATTAACTGATGAATTCGTTTAGCAAGCAATCCGATATGGGTAGACCGCGGTTTTGGGTCCTTCCGAACGAACGATTGGGCACGTGGCATATTATAACAACCTGGATTGTAAATCCGGAATATTCCTTTCGGCCTACGTTGGGATTCGAACCAAGGATGGCCATGAACCCTCTCTGAAATGAACTACTAATAAAAGCATATTGCTGTGGAAACTTTTTATGCATATACACTTACACCACGCACTTCCCTTAACCACGCAATTTGTTTTGGCTTTTACTAAGTTATAGCCTTGCAATCCATTATTAAACGGAAATTTTGCACTATTTCATTCTTCAATACATTTTTGTCTTCAGATTTGGGATGATGAGCTGGCTCTAATAGCATTAAAGTGGGCACAACAGTGCGTATTCGGCCATGATGAAAATGATAACAGAAGGACGAAGGGTTGGCATATACTCCTTTTAAATAGATAGATAGATAGATAGATAGATAGATAAAATTATCACATTATATTTCTCAGATTTATATTCCAAATTCGAGCATTTAAGAGCAGTAAAACCCCAGATAATATAGTATATATGTTTCTTTTTTTTAAACCATATACAGCTTATCCTAGTGTTGATATTGGTCAAAATTGTGCGTACGACACCAAGACTTGGACAGAGGCGATAGATGCTTGGTATTCAGAAGTTTCTAGTTTTAAATTTGGTACTGGTTCTATAGATGGTGAAACAATTGGACATTACACGCAGGTATATTGATTATTATTGTCTTGCAAATTCCGCTTTTATGCACAGTTTGTTTGAGTCCGAATAGTCAATAAGTGTATTGTAATGGACCCTAAGTGGATTGTCGTATGCATGCTTTTTTGAAAATACAGAATCGTTTTCATGTTTTGGTTGGTTATAACTAATACCAAATATTATGTTTATTTAGGTTGTAAATGATAATGCTGTACGAGTGGGCTGTGGTCAAGCCAAATGTCCAGATGGTAGCTCTGCTGCTTTTAAAGAGCGGTCATTCGTATGTAATTATGGTAGAGGGTATGTTACAAACTGTTTCTCATTTTCTGACATGAAATGGGATATAACGTCCTACTTTTCTGCACCGATTTGGCTAATGAGGACACGCATACGCCATGCTGTGTGCTATGAGGAAAATTTTGCTCGGATAGAGGCGCTACGGTCCACCCTTATATCGATTTCCAACTGTCAAGATACACTGATCAGCAGTGAATATTCGCTAGGCCGCTACAATCACTGATAAGGATGACATCAATGCGACTTACTGAGCCACAAATATTAACTTTTTTCCTCCGACAAATTAAATTCTAAAACATATTTTTTATGTATTAGAAAAATAAATAATGACGTTTGACGTATTTGTAGGTAAAAATTATTCCCTATTTAGTGCAAATGGGTATTAAAATGAGTAATGTTTATGTAAACAATCCATTAAGCCAATGATTGACACCGCGTGATGAGACGTCACGTGTTGAAGGTAGTCATCTTTTACAGAGATATTAGAAAACTTTCGTAATCCTCTGTGGAACAAATTGCTTTCAAGAGTTCCTTTACGTACACGCCACTGTGTACACGGCACTTCGGTTTTCATCCCATCCGAAAGACTAGATCGCTGTCCTTGTCAGGCCCTACGTCCTGCACCACTGACAAGGGGTTCTCATTTACTAACTATTTCAATTTAACTAAACTATTGTTGTTGTTATTAATATTATTATTATTATTATTACATACTATACTACTTTAGGTGTATTCAACTAAGTAAGGGTTGTATATATTGTATATATACCGCTTTTCATTATTAGTATATAATTTGTATTGTAAATAGGGATAGGGGTCTGACATAGGCATTTTGCCTGTTCCCCAATTTTCCATTCATTTATAGTGAATAAAATATGTTTATAAAAAAAAAATTAATAACTGTAGCCAATAACCCACAAGAGCATCTTACCATATAGACAAAGTTATCAGATTACAGACGCATTGAACGTCATTCTTCAACTAAGTCGTCCGGGCAGTCAACAAAGGTTGTCGCATATTTTTTTCTTTTGTAAGTAAGGAGAACGTTTACAACACATGAAAATCTTATTACGAGTAATAAAGGGCCAATCCCGATAATATTTTGGAAAATAAAACGGGTTAATTTTGTGTTAAAATTACTTAAAATCCTCTAGCTTAGGGCCGAGCAACTAACCCAATATATTTGATACGTTTACAAAAACAACTTAAACCCATCTTAATCTGGAAGTGGAGACCGGTGCCCAAAGCTGTATTATGCGGTGTCTGGATAAAACCAGCCTTTTATTTTATAAAAATAATGTGTAGGTGAAATTTACCTTTCGTTACCAAGTACAGCACATGGGTCATTCAATGTATAAACCTCTAAAGAAACGGGAATCGATTATCATGTCACCCAACGAAAGAATTGACCCGAAATCTTAAAAGGGTTAAGTGTCCGGATAAGCAGTTTTAGCGTTCACGTCTAAATGACTCAATATTTTGAGCTGAAATTGTGAGACAGGGTAAATACACCATTTCTTTATATTTTGACGCTAATTAAAAATCCGAGTACATGTACTCGGATTTTTAATTTTGAGACTCTGTTCAAATCGGGACAGTCCCTTTAAGTAATTACCAGAAATCATTAGAATTTGTTTCGATTCTTTGTCTCACGACCTTTAAAAATCTATATTAACTTTAGCCTCTAGAGCAACCACAGGATTTTTCAAAGTGATCAAGAGTCCTAACTCTGGCAGTAATTATCAAAAATCGTTGAACAAGACTAGGATCCTTCGTTGCATGACCTTAAACACTGTGTATAAATGTCAAGTCAATCGGAGCTAAATCGCTAATATTTGGGAGCTAGAAATTGACACAAATGGGTCCCAACGCATATAATAATATAATATGAATGTATCTAAACTGATATACATTCAATAGTTTCCTTTTTTACTCTAATTTCAAATCAACTACTTTCAGCGAAATGCGCCAGAAGTCTCAATCGAATTTCAATCTCTAGTGTCTGGTTATTCCAGTCTACACCGATAGTATTTATTGCGCATGCTCTCCAGATCAGAATATGCCGTCACCGTTTGACATAACTTGTGGAATATGTCTAGCCTCGTTCTTCGAGTCCCTTGTTAAAATGGCACTGAAACTCATTATGGTAAACGATTCGTGTACCAATGGTAAAATATTTATTTTGACTTAAATATTAGATATCAGAATCTCACCTTTTCCCGGTAAGATCACAACATCAATGCTGGTTTAAATTGACAAACAATTCGTTTTTTCAATGTCGAAGACTTTGGATGATATTGAGTTCGAGACTTAGCTACTTTAACTTTAGCCTCTAGAGCTTCTACAAGAAAATAGTTGAAAATCAATAGCCTTCTTTGTCTCATGACCTTAAACACTGTATATTAATTTAAAGTAAATCAAATGTTAAATTTAGCTTCTAGAGCGTCCACAAGCACTTGTGGACGCCGAACGGGGGGGGGGGGGGGGCGACACTATACGACCACATTTCAATGTGGACGTATAAAAATGGTAATAAGTTATAAAATCATAAAAGGGGCCAAATGTTGATCCAAAGGGGACACCAATTATGTGACTTTCCATCCACACTGGACGTAATTTATCTTTTAAGGCAATATTCATCTGAACTAAAGAGACCGTACGTACTGGATAACCCGTGTGATGACTGTCCTGGACACTGTGACACAAAACTCAACCTTTGCTGTAAGTATGGTTATGTCTTAAAGTTGGGATAGAATGTAATTTTGAATTCAATCTGTATTGAAAACAAAAGATATAACTGTATAGTCACATCACGGTAAATCTTCAATGCCCTGTAAATTGTTGATCCAGGATCAAAAAGAGATTTACCTTTTAAATTTTTAAAATTTATTCTGGTTAATTGCTGATTATTTGCTAGTACCTCAATATAAGACCCGCCTGGATTTAGAATTTTTATACGCCCACATTTTCATGTGGACGTATTATGCCGTCGCCCCTGTCCGTCCGTCCGTCCACAATTGGTTGTGGACACTCTACAGGTCACAATTCTTATCCGATTTTGACGAAACTTGAAATATAGGTTTATCTCCAAAATATCTCGGCTGCTTTCGATATTGGCATGTATCGGATCGAAACTTCATGGATTATGGCCCCTGTTTGTACGAAAAATCACGTTGTTAGCTTGTGGACACTATAGAGGTCACAATTTTTATCCGATTTTGTTGAAACTTGAAATGTAAGTTGATAACCCAAAGATCTCGGTTCCTTTCGATATTCGCTCATATCGGACTGTAACTTCCTGAATTATGGCCCCTGATTGTACAAAAAATCACGTTTTTAGCTTGTGGACCCTATAGAGGTCATAATTGTTATCCGATTTAAAAAACCGTTTTATTATATCACCGTTACACCCTAAGGATGGCCGAGTTCGAATTTCGTGAAAATCGGCCCAAAATTGACAGACAAAATGACCGCCGTTCGTTCTCAAATAGCGTAAAAATATGGTATATCAAGGTTGTGGACCCTATAGAGGTCACAATTTTTATCCGATTTTGTTGAAACTTGAAATGTAAGTTTATAACCCAAAGATCTCGGTTCTTTTCGATATTCGCGCATATCGGACCGTAACTTCCTGAATTATGGCCCCTGTTTGTACGAAAAATCGCGTTTTTAGCTTGTGGACCCTATAGAGGTCATAATTTTTATCCGATTTAAAAAACCGTATTATTATATCACCGTTACACCCAAAGGATGAATGAGTTCGAATTTCATGAAAATCGGCCCAAAATTGACAGACAAAATGGCCGCCGTTCGTTCTCAAATAGCGTAAAAATATGGTATATCAAGGTTGTGGACCCTATAGAGGTCACAATTTTTATCTGATTTTGTTGAAACTTGAAATGTAAGTTTATAACCCAAAGATCTCGGTTCCTTTCGATATTCGCGCATATCGGACCGTAACCTCCTGAATTATGGCCACTGATTGTACGAAAAATCGCGTTTTTAGCTTGTGGACCCTATAGAGGTCATAATTTTTATCCAATTTAAAAAACCGTATTATCATATCACCATTACACCCTAAGGACGAATTTATTTTTGGTGGGAATTTTGTGACCCCCACCAACAAGTCACCCGAAAGGCTCCATTTGCTTTTTTATTTGATGACTTTTGGTGATGTTTTCGTTTGGTTACTTTGGTGGATCAAAAAAGGTAAGATGATGATTATACCTGGGCATACATACTAGAATAAAACTGTCCGGGGTATTAATGTACATATGTATTATTATTTTGACAGATTGTAATGGTATGTTATGTCAGAATGGTGGTAGAATGGACTATTCTACATGTAAATGTAACTGTACAACACTTTACAAAGGAAATGAATGTTCTGAGAGTAAGTATACTATCGGAAATATCATCGAACTACAACTGATACGTTTAAGTTGAGACCTGTAGATTTGTGGGGTTATAGACTGATCATGTTATTTACGAAAGTGCAACAAATTTTAAAACTCCGTACACTTCCCAAATGAATGTGAAGTGGTATCATATGTTCTAGAAAAACAACTATTGTCTCTCTGGCTAGCAACAGGTTACATATTCTTTTCACACTTAACGATTGCCAGTAAATAATATACTCATATTTTCTATATAAAAAAAATTCGAATAGTACCATATATGATATGATATTTTTTAAACATTTCAGTTGACTGTAAACCTGATTCTAATATCTGTCCACTATATAAAGATGAATGGTGTGAAAAATACACTAACATTCCACAAGAGTGTCCTAACAAATGTAACTTATGTTAAATACTATACAGAAGTTGATCACATTATCATTATGATGTATCTTAATACAAAACTTCAACAGATCATTATTTGTTCTTGTATTGTATGTAGTCCCGATAACAGTTGTCAATAGTAACAAGAGCATCGCTACCGCTGCAATATACGTCTACATTCCTGCCTTGATTGATATGGTACTTTTTTTAAATGAAGAGCATGAAATATGAAATGACTGTAATATGACAAGAGGCAAAGAAGGCTAGGAGTTGGTTTTGTTTTGCCAAATTTACAGACTAAATATTAACAAAAAAGTGGACGTGATATCGCCCCCAGGGAGTCGGGGCATGCACCAAAATAAATTTATAGTTGCTGTCTTTGCGGTATTAGTAATAAATATGTAAAGTTTCAAGGTGATCCATTCACAATTGCAGCCTGTAGACGATAAACACAAAAATTGGGTGTGGCTCTGCCCCTGAGGGTGATATGGAACTATATAAATAGGTACAACCCGGTTATTGAAATGATTGATATGCTGAATTTGAACAAAATCTGTTAATAATTGCAACCTGTTGAGTATTTACAGATAAAAACTAACTAAAAAGTGGGTGTGGTACCACACCCCTGGGGGTCGGGACATACACCAAAATAAATAGTTGCTATCCTTACAGTATAAGGAATAAATATGCCAAGTTCCAAGATGATCCATTTAGAATTCCAGCCTGCAGACAAAAAACACAAAAATTGGGCGTGGCTCTGCCCCTGGGGGTTGGAGATGGACCAACATAATATATAGGTACAACCCTATGCTAGATCATTCTGATTTGGATCCAAATCTGTTAATAATTGCAACCTGTATATCATTTACGAAAGGGGGGGGGGTCGTGCACCAACATCACTAGTTGCCGTCCTTGGGGTATAAGGAATAAGTATACCAAGTTCCAAGATAATCCATTCAGAATTGTTGCCTTTGGGCGCTAAAGCCAAAAATTTTGCTTGGCTCTGCCCCTGGGGGTTTGGGGCATTCACGAAAATCAATAGTTGACACCCTTAGGCTATAAGGAATACATATGCCAAGTACCAAGCTGATCCATTCAGAATTGCGGCCTGTAAACGATAAACACAAAAATTGGGCGTGGTTCTGCCTCTGGGGGTTGGGACATGCAGTTGTCGTCCTTAGGCTATAAGGAATACGTACCCCAAGTTCAAAGACGATCCATTAAGAATTGTGGCCTGTAGGCAACACACAGAGACACTAAAAAAAAATAGGTTTGGCTCTGCCACTGGGGGTGGGGCAATCACCAAAAAACAATAGGGATTATCCTTAGGGTATAAGGAATAGGTATGTAAAGTTTCAAAAGGATCTGTTACGAATTGCAGCCTCTAGGTGAAACACAAGACACACAAACATTGGGCGTGCCTCTGTCCCAGGGGCTGGGCATGCACCAAAAATAATAGAGGTCAGCCTTAGGGTATAAGGAATAAGTATAAAAAGTTTTCAAGACAATCGATTCAGAATTTCAGCCTGTAAGTGACACACAGACACACAAAAAGAAAATGGGCGTGGCTTTGTCCCTGGCGGTTGGGCATGCCCCCCAAACAATAGGGATGTTCCTTAGGGTACAAAGAATAAGCATGCAAAGTTTCAAGATGATACTTTAAGAAATGCGGCCTTTAGACGACAAACAAACAAACACAAGAAATGGGTGTGGCTCTACCCCTGGGGGTCGGACATACGCCAAAAACAATAGGGATCATGCTTAGGGTATAAGGAATAAGTATGTGAAGTTACAAGATGATCACTTAAGAATTGTGGCCTGTAGGCGACACACACACACACACACAGAGCGGCGACGGCAATATACCTCGTAAAAAAAATGCTCCAGTAAGTAAAAGCTGCAATGGAATATCTGCAAGCATGTCAGTCTAATTTTCTCAGTGAGTGTGGTAAAATAGAAGAGACAGAAATACTATTATTAAGCCAGTACAATACATAGTTGGTAATTGAGGTGTACAAAGCGGTACAAAGACATTAATTTCTAGATGAAAACATTTCTTACTGTGAATAAGTTGTCAGGGGTCAAACCCAGTCTTTCCAAATTTGTACCAAGTACTTATCTTTGACTTTCAGAGGAAAATGAAAAATGAAAATTTTGATATTTGATTTATTATGAATATATTTTCATTAGTGTAAAAGAACAAATATTGCATAAAAAATATATAACATTAACATATGGGGAAAATAAAATTAATATAAAATTGGAAAAAATATTTCATTGTATTTTGAAAACAAATATACTTCGTGATTTATATGCAAATAAATAAATAAGTAAAATATATCACAGAATGAAGAGTTTTGCTCTTCAATTTTTTAAACCAGAATAGGTCAGTCGAGGCAGCTTTGTGACTACTTTTTTAATTCCAAAGACCTAAAATAATTTGATAACAGATTAATCCCAGTAAAACAGTAACACAAAAATCTTGTAATATACAATAAATCTTATTAATTTTAATATATTTAAAAAATAATAGTTCCAAATAAGTTATTTTTAGTTAAATTAGAAGGAAACAACATTTACACATGATAAATAGATATAACCTGTGTATAACTGGTGGGATTCTGACTATATATCAGACAACATTTCTTTTTTGTTCATGCAAGTTAAATGTCCTGCCTTTTTTTCAGGTTTGGAGATCGCTAAAAACTGATAAAACAGATTTGTAACTTGGAATGTTCAAATGAAGATATTTGATGAATATCAATGAGTTTAAAGGTTTCATATTAGTGGATTTCAATTTAGGCCACACAAAATAAATGTCTTGTTTCTCGGGCAACTGACAGCTGAAACTGTAGGGAGGGAGGGCGGTTTCTTTTTTTTTTTTACTCATTGAGGGTGCAAAATAAAATTTGGCTATTGCTGAAAATTGTTGGGGCGGGAGGGCGGTCTTTCTTTTTTTTTTTTTTTTAAATGAGAAAGTCATTACTTGTTTACGTTTTTGCTTTCCGTTATATTCAACTTTATTGTACATACTTAAAACATAAACCCAAAATCAAGTCTACTAAAACACTGAGACAACACTGACTGAAAGGAAAATAATTTTCCATATTTAATTCACATAATTGAAATTGGTTTAAAATAAAATTCCATACGACTATGTAATAGCCCTCCATAAAGACAACAATATTTTTAAAAACTAAGCCTCTTTCACCAGGTGTATCAAAAATAATAATCATGGTAAACAGTATTTAAAACTAAATCTAGTATCGCCGGTTTATTTATAATTATTTACCGAATTCCAACCAATGCATGTCACACCGTGTCATCGGTATTGGAGATTGCCGGAAATACCGTTTCTTGGGATATTCGGTGTGTTTCTCAGGATATTCGGTGTTCTATCCGGTGTTTATATTGAATGACTATTTAAATCTAACTAACAACTGGTCAGTAAAACCATCAAATCGGTAATCCAATTATTATTTTCCGGATTATCGAAACTACCGTAAATGTGCTAATAATGACCCAGATTCTAAGGTATGCATTATGACGACTATCGTCATCGTATCGTATTCTTAGCTATAATTAATTAACCTGTTCTACGGTTCATTATTTTATCAATAGGATTTTCCAAACAAGGACCGACTGAAGCCGGCAATAATGAGCCGATTACGATCGAATGATTGAAATATTGTCGCCAATGACTTTTAACACGAATCAAATTCTAGTTTATCAGGGGAGGTAATTAATATCACGTGATACAAAATGGAGGTTCTTTCGATATCAATAAAAAAGGCAAATCTGCCAAACTTCGCCATTGTTCGGATAAAAAAGACAGCATGTTCATCTGAATCAGTTTTAATACATTTGAATAGATATACATGTATGGCGGATGTAGGTACATGCGGGATATTTTTTTTACGACTTGCTTGTCGATGTGCGGGCGGGCGTTACATATTTATTTTTTTTCATCAAGACTAATAAATAGACTGCACGCGCAACCAATTTTGCGTGCGGGCGGTGCCCGAGAAACAAGTTATTTTATTTGTGTTGCCTTAGGTAGATTTGGATAAATTGTGCTAACTAATTTATTCGATGGGAATTGGGGTCGTATTGTTATTATTTCGATGGAGTGTATAACAGGTTCAAGGGAAATTACTTTAGAGGAGACTTGTTATATATAAATACACACACTAATATACATACAGTCAAGTACATAAAACAAATGTGAATTAACATAATCTTTTTTCGCAGACAGAGCAACATAATATAATAGTTGCCAATTCTGAAAGCTAACAACAGACAAGTTTAAATCAGACATATTTTGTGCAGAATTTAAAGAGGCATAATCACTCTCACTGATAAAATAAATATATTCAAAATACCTCAAGACTCAAATACCCTCTTAGAGTAAGATATTTTTCACAAGCAATCGCTACACTATTCAAAAACCACTAAATATGTCTTGGCTGATTGGCCTCAAATTTTTTACCAACCTGCAAAGATCTCTAAAATTGCTAATGCCTCTTTAAATTCACATCTATGACAGGTTGCATAAATTTACTGTCAAACCTTTTTTCATAATGAAAATAATTCATGGAGTATCTATTACCACAACAGTGATGTTTTCATTTTTTTCAGCGATGTTTCAGCTGACATAATTCTATCAGTAGCTTGGTTTTGCGTAAATTTTATTTTAGCTCTGTTCTTCTCAATAATCAATGAAGCTTCTACATAATCTACAGGTTTATCATTCAGCAGATTCTGTTGGCAGGAATTATCTTGACATAATACTTCTATTCTATTGTCTATATTGCTCAGTGTAGAAATAAAGTCTGGAAATTCTCTCAATATGGCCTTTACTGATGCTGAATACTAGAGGAGAAAATAAGATGCTATATAATATGTATTTATATACATGTACTAATCCTTTGAAAAATAACAAAGTAAGGGAGAGAGAAAAGACATGTTTGTTTTTCATCTGTCATGCAGTGTACATGCTACAGGAGGGAAATTTGTCCGGGCAGTGGCACTACAGCACTTCATAGGACATGGGACATGTTTTTCATCCCATCTGAACAACTAGACGTTCCTGGCCAGACCCTCCGTAATGCACAACAGACAAGGGTAAACCATGCCAGAAAATCCTGAGGAATTTCCTTGGCAAAAACATCTATATATGAACATTCATTCTACACAAGTCAGATCATTTTGGGACTAACAAGATATGTTTATATTTCAAAAAATTATTTGTAGCCTTGAGTTCAGGGATGATATAGTGCTGCGAATCTAAGTACCCATAGAAAACTGGCAAGATGTGGAAGGCAATGCTACCTCTTAGCAATTTCTGATTACCTACACATATCTTTTCAATGGTATCTTACCTCAAGGTTAAAGGTTTTGAAGATTTTCTCATAACAAGAAGCCATTTTAATGTTTTCTTTATCTGTTTTTAAATTAATGGTACAAAAATCATCTTCTTCATGCATCTATAGAACAGAAAAATATACAATAAATTAAACAGAGTTCACTTATTTCTATAATGAGATTGATTCTGTGTTATTTTACATAAATCTTATAGTCAATAAGAAACTTACACTATAAGGTGTTTTATTAGTATTAACAATTGTGGATCCCTAGATAGATAGACGAGGGTGAAGACAATACGCTTACACAAATTTAATAATTGAATTAATTTCTTCAGAGGTTTAATTTCGATTCAGTGATGAGTCAGATTTTTGAACACAAATTTGATTAAATGATGAGCTTTTTACATAACTTTGCTATACATCGACATTTTCATATGGGCGCATATTGGCACGTATCGGACCGTAACTTCATGAATTATGGCCCCTGATTGTACGAAAAATCACATTTTTAGCTTGTGGACACTCTAGAGGTCATAACTTTTATCTGATTTTGACGAAACTTAAAATGTATGTTTACAACCCAAAGATCTTGGTTCCTTTCGATATTCGTGCATATCGGACTATAACTTCATGGATGGCCCCCGATTGTATTTGTAGGAAAAATTACGTTTTTTTGCTTGTGGACCCTCTAGTCTAGGTCACAATTTTTATTCGATTTTAAAAACCATTCAAATGTATCCACGTTACACCCTATGGTTGAGTTCGAATTTCGTGAAAATTGGACCGAAACTGCCCTACAATAAGTCCGCTCCTCCTACGCTAATAGAGTAAAAGTATCTAATACCAAGGTTGAGGACCCTCTAGAGGTCACAATTTTTATCCGATTTAGATGAAACTTAAAGATCTTAGTTCCTTACGATATTCTCACATATTGGATCGTAACTTCATGGATTATGGCCCCCTGATTGTACGAAAAATCACGTTTTTAGCTTGTTGAACTTCTAGAGGTCACAATTTTTTTTGATTTTAAAAACTATTCAATTATATCACCATTACATCGTAATGATGGTTGAGTTTGGATGAAAATCAAAATATATGTTTATATCGCAAAAATCTTGGTTCCTTTTGATATTTCACATGTCGGATTGTAACGTCTTGGATTATGGCCCATGATTGTATGAAACTGTTGACTGTTGAACACAAATTTGGTTATAGCTCAACCCAGGTTTTAGATGCAGACATCAATTCTGAAACATAACTATTTGTAAAATACGTCAAATTTGATAAAATCACCATTTTTCACCAAAATCAAAGAAATCTTGTCATTTTAGGAAAAAGCATCGTTCTTTAATGACTTTAGTATAGTTTTGTGCTCCATTTCTACTTCCTTACCTCAAGTTGTGTATCAGGAGAACAGAAATATTTCTTTAAAGCAACAACACAGTTTTCTAAACTTATATCTTCACTATTTGTAAGATTGGACTGAGAACATTTTGCAAAAAACTTTTTCAAAGATTGATCACTATATTTAGACAGGGACTGAATTCTTCGGATACATTTCTCAGCTTTCAAAAACTCTTTGTCTATCTGGAAAAAAAAATTATTTATTTTCAAATATCTTAAATGCCATAAAAGTTTCTTCAAATATGTATGTTTATGTAATTCTAATACAGATTAGATATATTTAATGGCCCATTATACCAGAATAAACAGCAAATAAAGGCTCTCAGACCATATACAACGACAGACTGCCAGGCAATGAAACATACGCCCACAGCAGCTAACTCACTGGTTTGTACGATAACAGTGTGAAATAAATAGAACCAATATACTGCTAAACATTAAATGGCTATAGCTAAGTTAGAAACGATAATTTGGGCTAATTTTTACACCAAATTTTTTAAAATAAAAATACTTTTGATTGTGTATGGTCTTAAGAGTGCGTCCACGAGAGCCCCATGCAGAAGGTGCTGAGTCTTCAATCACAGATTTTGACCAAATTTTGTTTATAAGTTGGGATAGTCCCAAAACAAATAAATGTGCAATATGAGATAAATCTTTCAATTCCTGACCGAGAAAATTAAAAAAACCCACATTTTTCATATGGTGAAATTGCGAAATTTGGCAAGTCGTTACACCTTTAATATACGTAGCAAAGAGACCACAAAATTAATTTCAGAATATTCGGGCAAACGTGATTGGTATATGAACTGGATATCAATGCCTATCAAAATTCCCCATTTTTCGTCACCCAAAGTTTGACGCCCTATAGCTACTCCTTTCATGGGATGGGCTCAGAAAATTTATGCTCATGTGAACAAGCAACCTCCCAACCATTGATACAAAAAATAAAAATGACCGGAATAGACTCAACAAAAACTGAGTAAAGGAAACAATAACCCATGAAATTAACCCATAATTCAGTTATTTTGGAGATAATTAATGGTAGTAGATAACATATCCATTACTCTCAAATAGACATTCTTTTAAATAAAATAATCCAAACAAAAATGAGAAATTCACCTAAAAGTGATATTCGAACCACTAATCGCATGATTGACAGTAAAATTGTTATAGTCTCGCAGATGAAAATCTGATACTTTTGAATATTCGTATTGAAATATACTAAAACTTTGAACAAACCATTTGTTTAGATTGATATAATATATAATTTAATATTAAATTATACACCAGAGAACAAAAACAACAAGTAATATTCATAGCAATACAATCAAGTTGCAGATATAGCGATTTATGGCAACAGCAACTAAACGCAGCTTACAGAATATCAGTCAGCAAAAGGCTAAGAACATTCTAAACGTATCGGCTAATTTACAAGATATATTCATCCACATCTGAAATAATTCCAAGGCGTACAGTGCCGAATTTACCTATAGGATTGTCAGACTGAAGTTTGGGATCTCAAGATCTAGGGGTCCTCCGGCCAAGGTGTATAATATTTTTGACACTCTTGGTCTTAAACAGCATCATGAATCTCAGCTTGCTCAATTGTGTTTAAAACACACTTTCATCTTTAGGGCCCATGAGAGAGAGGACAGCTGGGACATGTGCCTAGGGGCCAGGAGCCTAGAGGGGCCTGGAGGTGTGTCGCGTAATGTTTTAAAAAATTTTGTTGGTAAAAATTAATAAAAAGAAAATAACTGTTACTTGATCGTAAAGTAGAAGACTATCGGTGACTTTTCTGAAATGTGGGTAGGGTTAGAATTGGATTCTGTCAGTCCACATTGTTTGGAAAAATTGGAGAATTAAAAACTATAAGCCACCTTTCTGGGCCTTTGTCTCCTGGCTCTCGTCACCACCAGGGTATCAGGGTCCCCTTCCATTTGAATCCAGTTCAATATGATTTTGGGTATTAAAAAATAAATGAATAGTCTGTGTGATAAAAAAAATTTCTTTTCACATTTTGGCTTAAAATTTCCTGTCAAAATAGTGTATATTTATTTTTACATTAGTAAAACTAAAATGTAGTACATGTATTTGGTATTCCATATGTTGTGTTAAATATCAGTTTCTGTGCTATAGTAAAATGACCTCCAGTTACCCCACTGTTCAATGTTGCCCACTTTGACGCAAAGCTGCGTTAAAATTTAAGCTTCCACATTTCTGTATTGTAGAAATCAGTGAATGCGTCCCAAAATGAATAGTGGAAATTGAGCATTTTGTTGCCATTTTCGGTGACCTGTTAGAAAATGAAACCTTAAAGGGACAATACAACAAAAACGTTAAAGGGACAATACGACAAATACCAAATATACAAATATACACTTATATACAGTACCACAATGGTACAAGTGACAGCTATGGATATGATGAAAACGTATAATAATCAGTAATCTTATTTCTCGATTTATATTTGAAAAAAATATATCACAAAAGCTTATTTTGAGCACTTTTCAATAAGCTTTATATTTTAAGTATGCTGCATTCCGGTCATTTTTTTTACACCATGGATACTAACTATGTGCTTAGCACTTCAAAACCATCCCAAGAAATTCTACGTGTGACCATGAAAGAAAAAGTTACAGTGTATCTTTTCTGTACTATAGGGACAATATGAATATGGAAGCCTAAAACAAGTCCACAAAAAATTTGCATGTACTGATATTTTTTTTTCAAATTAGTGCTGGGGTGGAAGTTGACCACCTGCTTTATCAGAAAGGGTCAAAACCAGAAGGTTGCTATTGCACCATAGAATGCAATCTGTGCTTAAAAAGTGTGATAAAATACATACGTGAAAACCAAAATTTTATCCATAAAATGACTATTTCAAGTACAGTCCTTTATAGAAACATCAGGTTGGAACCACTTAAGCATGTCACTTCTTACCCCTAGGTGTCATACCATAAGTTTGATCAAAAACTTTCAACCCCCCATCTTAGCACTTTTTGCGATTTCTGTCTGGCCTTCTCGCGGATACACTCTTAAAAACTATATTTAACCTTTATTCTGGCATGTTGGGGTGTTAAGAAAACATAATCAAAAATGTTCTATAGTGTCTGAATGGTTTATTTTAGATTATTTTAGATTATATAGAAATGTTTTTGCATTCAAGGCGGGAAAGGAAGCTTTTGAATCCCTCCTCCCTTCCCACAATTCATAATTGATTAATAATATTGATATGCTTCTAAAAATTATTTAGTTAGATAGAATACCAGTAAATGCTCACATTTTCAATACCACTTATTTCAAATATTTTCTCTACAGGTGGTGCGGAACCAAGTTTATCATTATTATTCTCTTCTTGTTTTCTGGGACGATATTTTTTCTCGATGATGTGACGTATAAAACTCTGTATAGCTTGGTGAACAGATCCATCACCCTCTCTTGCTGACACAGCCATACTGAAACATTGAAGTATACTCATTAATAAAAACAAAACTTCATCGTAATTTCAATTAACTGATATCAGAAAGTATCTCAAGTAATATTTTTTACAGCTTCTTAAAAATATGTGACTTAAAAACACCTCACACCAACTCTTGACAAAAGATACCTATGGCTAGGTCTCCATCCTATGCAATAAACTGTAAATACACCTCCACTGGCAATTCTCAAAGAAGAGAAGATTTGGCAATGAATCAGTTACATTTACATTAATATAAGAATTAGAATTCAAGCCATTAAGACATATAAGAAATTTGTTACCTTCCTGTGAAGTTATATTTAGCACTGTATTCCTCTAGTTCTTTAATACATGGTAGTTTATTGTCTGATGTCTGTATACTATCTATAAATATGAAAATAATTTTCTGCATTAGGACTAGGGCTGATAATGTCATGCAGTGAGTTATGAGGGAAATTTTTGCCTGATAGTGGAATTTCAGACTAATTTCCATAGAATTCCACGGGACATTACTTTATGACCCATTTGAATGACCAGGCACTGTTCCTTGCCAGTCCCTTCATGCTGCACCACTGACTAACACCAGTATAGATCATGTGGTGAATAGATGAAAATAAAAGATGGAGAGAGAGGGAGAGAGAGAGAGAGAGAGAAATGGGATTTAACGTCCACTCAACACAAACTAGTTCATTTCGGAACTAACACATGGTTCAATTGTATTTCAATAATTCGCTTGCACGTAGGCGTCTTTAGCAGTGGGAGGAAACCGGAGGACCCGAAGAAAACCCACGAGGTTGGACAGGCAACCCTACTCCTTGTCACGTACAACCGGGGATTCGAAACCCCGCCAGTTGACTCAATGACAGACCGTATGATACAGCGCAGTGCGCACATGCTAACCATTTGGCCATCCAACCCCCCGGAGAGAGAGGGAGAGATTTTTAACTCCACTCAGGAATAACTAGGTCATTTAGGGACTATATTTTATTTCAATAATAAAGATCTTTAGAGGTGGGCAGAAGCCGAAATACCCAGAGAAACCTCAAAAGGTTACACAGTCCATATCATCACGCACATGTGTGGGTTTGAATCATGGTACTTGCATAGATAATAGACCTTAGGCATCCCCCCCCCCTTCACATCAAAGGAGATCAGATGATAATTTTTATGTTTAAAAATGAAATACTATAACCTTCTGAGTTCTGGGTCATCTTCTCTACCTATAAAAATAATATGTCCATAAATAATTGAAAACATATTGGAGTATCTAGTGATTATATGAAATTAACAAATCATATCTAATTTTCTTTATCCTGTAAATTGTATTTAATAAATTGTTTATTAAATTGTTGATGTAATAAAGATGAATATTTGCTGTTATGTACTTACCCGTAGCTCACATCTAGTAACCGAGAGAGAGAGAGAGAGAGAGAAATGGGGTTTAACAGTCTACTTGACACAAACTAGATCATTTCGGGACTAACACCCAGTTCAACTTTATTTCAATAATTCGCTTGCGTGTTGGGTCTTTAGCAGTGGGAGGAAACCGGAGGACCCGGAGAAAACCCACGAGGTTGGACAGGCGACCCTACTCCTTGTCACGTACAGCTGGGGAATCGAAACCACGCCAGCTGACTCAATGACAGACATTATAAGATAGCATACACATGCTAACCAGTCGGCTATCCAATCACCTCAAATTGTAAAGAAGAATAACTGGACTCAGAAGTCAAAATGACACAACAATACATGTTTGTTCTACACATATTTCTTGTTATGATGATTTAATCTCTAGAAACAAACATTGAACCACACTGATCAGCAGTGAATATTCGCTAGGGATGACATTGGCGCAGCTTAATGAGCCCCCAATATTAACTTTTTCCCTTCTGCAAATTAAATTCTGGAACATTTTTTTTTTTAAAGCATTATTAGAAAAGCAAATAAAGGTGTTTGAAGTATATGTAAGTAAAAAATATGTTCTATTTAGTGTAAATGGGTATGCAAAATGATTAAAAGGCACCATTCTGCCCGGACCAGTAACGTCTTATGTAAACAATGCACGCGCCTTTGAGCCAATGATTGTCGCCACGTGATATGACGTCATGTGTTGAAAGTAGTCATACTTTACAGAGTTATTAGAAAACGTTCGTAATCCTCTGTGAAACAGATTGACATTGGACGTGATCCAAATCAAGGGAGGAAAATCAAAGTCAACAGGCAGACAAGACAGAATATAGACAAAATAAACAAATATCAAATCAAGTGAATGGATCTGGGGGCCAGCCTTAAGCCTCAACTGCCCAAGAGCATGGCAGCCTTTTAGTGTAAGTTATTATTAAATAAACTTACTAAATCAAATTTATTTCCAAGTAAAAGAATCGGAATTGTATATTTGTTGGGTGCTGGTTCTTTTTTATAAATTTCTTCATGTCTTTTAACTCCTGGTGTGTTGTCTACAACAGTCGTCACTGTCATGTTGTTCATCAATATCTGTTTCCATACCAAAGCCATATTCAAAAATTTCGGATCACTTAGATCCACAACAACTATAAGCGATCAAATAAATTACATTATGCAAGATTTAGAGAAAGACCTGCCTGACTATTCGTGCTATAGATTTAATAGTTCAAAAATAGATATCGGGGTAATGAAAAATGAATATATTGAAAATTTCAATTGTCCAGTCCATTGCCATGGTAATCATCTCATTCCTTTCATCACCAGTCTCTTGCCATATTGTGGGCATTGTCTAATCCATTCCATAGCCAAGCCATCCAATGGTCTAAAGAGTTGATTATGGGCTTGTCATGTGAACAAATGTAACATTTGAAGCCAGAAACAAACCCAGTCAAAGGCAAGTTTAGCTCATACATAATTCCTCTTTAATTACAAAGATACAGTAGATAAAAATCTATTCCAATTCAAAAGGTTTTAAATTTAAATTACTAAAAGAAGTGAATAGGTTATTGTGCAGTGGATCTTATTCTGTTGAGGAAATCACTGGAAGGCACGACAATAGAGAAGCTTCTGTAATTAGGATGAACCAGCATTTATTGTGCCATCTTTTGATGGTGCGTAAGTGATATACAGATTCTTTGTGCTATTTCTGTGTGCTATGCATGTTTTGTTGGTCCCCATTCCTGAATTCTTGGCAACCTATCAGACACCCTTTGGGCACAGGGACCCTGTTGTTTTAGTACCATTACGACCACATTGCACAGACCCTGACAGTGAGAGGCTTTAATATATTTACTTACCAATAGCTGCATCAACATCAGTAAAATAAGATCTATACAGTTCAATATCTTCTTTACCTGGTAAATCCCAGAATGTTAACGATACCAATACATGATCAGGAATGTTTAGTTTCTTTACAATATTATCTATAAAAAATACAGTATCTTAACAATTGGTATAAATCCATAATACAAGTCCCTGAACAACAAACTTAACAAGACTGTGTAGTAATCAAAGATTTAATCCAGTACGCGTCTCGATCGATTGCTCTTTATCTGCTGGTACAATTACTATAAATGATGATGCATGCAGTTCTACATAAAACAGACACTAAGGGATTTCCATCTTAGACCAACAACAGCAAAGTCTTGTACATGTATTGTGTTCACAATGTTTAAAATGCAGAACATAATCCGGCAGGTGACTGCAATATACAATAAAAAAAATCCATTTAGGCCAAACCAATTTATTTCATTTTTTTAGTCTTGATCTTGAGTCTGAGGAAGTTTTTCGTTTAAAATTTAAAGTTTGGAAGTAAACAATTTTCAGAATAGCAAACAACTATTTTTATTTTTTGTTTTGCAAGAAAAAGTAAGTTAACTTTTATCAGGTATTGTCAAACAACTTAAAGGGATAGGGGTCTGATATAGACATTTTGTCTTTTCCCTAATGTCCCATTCATTTATAGTGAATAAAATCTTTTAAAAAAATAAAGAATTGTTGTGTCAGTGGCCTTATAGTTAAATACCCATAGGGAAATCCAACAATGTTTTAAACTATTCTTTATTGAGAATTTGTCTAACATCATGTTTTGAAGAAGTATCTGTTCCATCTTGAATCTGTTTACAATTTAAATAATACCTCATATTATCATAAGCAATGTTGATAAATTCAGATCATTAAACACTTGATGCGTCATATGCATTTTTGCTAAAATATCAATTGCTCAAGGCATAAAGTACATCGTGGTTGGCTTATTTCATCTAATTAGTAAAATAATATGTACCTGATCAGACATAATAATTGTGTAGCAATAATATTTTTAGTAAGCTGATAGTAGTGATAGTGAAAAAACTTCAATCAGTCAGGAGGTAATTGGTAGTTGACCAGCTAACTGGATGTGCACACTTTGCTTGACAGGCATATACTGGATGTGGGCTTGGCCTGCCCATGTTTTTGTTACCCCTGAGCGATCGCCATGTTTGTCCTACCAATTGAAAACAAGTATGGCGGCTGTTTAGGGCGTTAGCTTTTTTTTAATTTAATTATTTCTGCAGTTTTGTAATCAGAGTTCAGCTTTAAGAAAACAAAATAAAAATACCAAGCTAGATAATCTCCCGGCTTGAATTCAATCAGATTTAAACTAAGCTCCTCAGGTTACTCTGCAACTAATAAAAGATTGCGGAATCTTGTTAGGCATGACCAGCATAGATCAATGAAATTTCAATTTATCATAACTTTGTAATACTGATCGGAATTGAACCATGTTTGGACTTATATTCCTATTATTAGAGGTAAAACTTTCACAATAATGTAGTTTGCAAGGGATTCATATAGCGCTAAATGACGCATCAAGCCTTTAACGTAATAATAATAATAAAAAAACAAACATTATCGTACCTATAGAAACTTTTGTAGTTGGTGTATAAATAGGTGTAAATTGATTGTGAACATAACGAACTAATATACTACTTTTACCAACGCCACTGTCACCTATAAGAATAAACAGTCATAAAATCTGTCAAAATAATATCACTTCAATAGCTGAACCCGCTACCTTTCAGAACAAATAACTTTCAATTGTATGCACAGTGTTTTTAGTAATCAGTAATCTTGAATTAAAAAAAAAACATCTAGAGTTTTAGAGAAAAGCATGTATATGTATACATTACTATACTATATTTCACATTAACTTCTGACGAACAAATACAATTGCAAACATACCAAGTATAACTATCTTTAATCCTGGTAATTGTTCAGCTCGGTTTGATTCTGTAAAAATAATAATACATGCATACATTTTAAATAAAATATATGGAGCTTGCAATTTGCATAAAAAAATGATAACCAATAATAGCTCACAAGATTACATTTACAGGCCAGGAAATAGTATTTATATTAATAGGCCTACTAATAATGTGCATTTAAATGTGATGATCCATAAGCTTACCTTTGCATTCTAAAAGTAAACTAGAATCAAACATGACAGAACTATCTTAGATATTATTATTAAGTACTTTTTACAGATCTTAAAATCCTGTCATGTAGGCTGCTGTAGTTAGTTCTCAGATCAATGTCGCCATCAGAACAATTTGCATTTCGGAACCAAAATTTTAAACTATTCAAAAATATTTTTTTTAATCCTCTTTTTTGAAATCTTGGTTACGTAATACACTGAAATCGTTCAAGAATTTAAGGGCAAATTCAACTGATTTGAAATCGGTTGTGTAACACCAGTAAACTGACCGCTTTCTAGCTGATTGATGGACCTGAATTATCAAGACTATTAGACTATTTTATACCAAATAACCAAACACTACAGACAGCTAGGTAGTAGGATGAAAATCGAAGATAGTATATATTCTATGCCACTATGAGACAACCATATTGGAACTTGGTACTGTAATTAACTAATCTGTTAACATTAGATTATTTATGGCTTTATTATACGGGTACTTGATAGATGTGAAGATAACGTCACATCAGTCACATTTGGCTATTTTTATGCCTCTGCTGATAATGCATGAGCTGCATCTCTGTCATTTGATGTAAGTTCATTTCTGGCTGTGTGGCATACCCTAGATGGGCCTATATACTACATATTAGTTATTCATTCAATGTGCCACTACATCATTTAATTTGATAGAACGAAGCAAATTAATTTCAGGATCTGTCAACCAATCTCTAAGCTTACCGGTGTGACAGTGTGAGATGGTTCCTGGTGTGTGATTACCGTTTAGCGCATGCGCAGTTGTAGGAGACAGTTCACACCATTGTGGACATGGTGTGCATTGAATCCCCGTGATAAGATTTCTCCAAAGATTTTCTTATGGTCAAATCGGTTTCTACACTATTATCTACCAATATTTACAGTATTACTCCCAGGAGAGGGTGTCAAGTTTCTATTGTTTGTTTATTTTGATAAAAAGTAGAAATACAAATTGACTAAGGCGCGGATTCATGAATTACAGTGAGCAATTTGCGTTGATGGAAAATCCCCGGCTGTGTGACGTTAGGGCAGTATTTTCCCGCAAGAGTCTTCTGTACATAAATGGTATCTTTGCTGATATTGAGATTGATATTAAACTATTACAATACAATTGTTAGTAATAGATTTAAATAAAACATTAATTCAGAATTGTAGATTAAAGTGGGCTACATTTCAGCCGCTGGCTGTCAGATTTCACGCTAAAGTCCTGTGATCTGAAATTTCTAATTTGAGTAACCAGCAGCTGCCAGGCAGGGTACGCCCACATTTCGCAAGAGATGGATAGAGAACAAGCTAAAAACAAAAACGATTTTTGTACAATCAGGGACAATAATCCAGAAAGTTACGATCTGAAATGCGCAAATATCAAAAGGGACTGAGATCTTTGGGATATAAAGATATGTTTTAAGTTTCATCAGAATCGGATAAAAATTGTGACCTCTAGAGGGTCCACAACCTTCGTAGTGCATACTTTTACACAATTTGCGTAAAAAGAGCGGCCATTTTGTTGGGCAGTTTCATTTCGATTTTCCAGAAATTCGAATTCAACCTTCGTTATGGTGGAATGGTGAAATATTTAAACGGTTTTTAAAATTGGAAAAAAAAAATTGTGACCTTTAGAGAATCCGCAAGCTAAAAATGCGATTTTTCGAACAATCAGGAGCCATAATCGGGGAAGTTACAGTTCCGATATGCGCGAATATTGAAAGGAACCGAGATCTTTGGGTTATAAACTTACATTTCTAGTTTCATAGAAATCAGAAGAAAATTGTGACCTCTAGAGGGTCCACAACATTGATATACCATATTTTTACGCTATTTGAGTACGAGGGGCGGCCATTTTGTCTGTCAGTTTTGGTCCGATTTTTACGTAATTCGAACTCAACAATCCTTAGGGTGAAACGGTGATATACTAAAAGGTTTTTTAAATCGGATAAAAATAATGACCTCTATAGGGTCAACCAGCAGAAAATGCGACTTTTCGTACAATCAGGGGCCATAATTCAGGAAGTTACGATCCGATATGGGCGAATATCGAAAGGAACTGAGATCTTTGGGTTATAAACTTAAATTTCAAGTTTCAACAATATCTGAGAAAAATTTTGACCTCTATTGGGTCCACAAGCTAAAAACATGATTTTTCGTACATTCAGGGGCCATAATCCATGAATTTTTGGTCCGATACATGCCAATATCGAATGCAACCAAGATCTTTTGAAGATAAACCTATATTTCAAGTTTCGTCAAAATCGGATAAGAATTGTGACTTGTAGAGTGTCCACAAACAATTGTGGATGGGTGGACGGAAGGATGTCCGGACGGACAGGGGCGACGACAATATACGTCCACATGAAAATTTTGGCGTATAATAAAACAGATAGGCTATACTGTGAAGTTGTAAAATTTTTAATAAGTACAAAATTAAAATAACAATGATACAGAGAAATCCCAATCATATAAAGGCCAAGATTGAATCTGCAAAATAGTTAATTATTAAAACATAGCTAAAACATCAAGAAGTGTAACGACTAATCACTAAATAAAACAACGGCAACAAATCACCAACGATAGAAGTATCAATTTCAAGCCCATCAACTTAGATCTGTTGATCGTGTAACTGCTGATCACTAAAACAACAGCTAATCACGATAACAAGTATGTTTATTAATGACAAAACTAAATATGTAATACTTTTTCCTGAACTGATCAGAGATCAGGAACCATCTCACACTGCCCGAAGTAGATATAGCTTCGTTGTTAATGCAGTTTCGGACATGCGCAAGTGCCCAGGAGCAAACACACACTGGGAGTCAATTCAAACTGTCACACCGGTACCTGAACTGGAAACCAAGCTGATTCAGATCATGGCTGATCCGGAACATGGCTGATTCGGACAAAAATTCAAAGCTGATTTGGACCACAATCTAGGCTGATTCGGACCACTTTGAGGTTGATTCGGACCACACGATAAAAAAATACTAGAAACTGAGATTTTGATATTGAATTAAATTTAAAAGGGTTTTATCTGGGCTATAGCGTGACTATAAAATGTGCTTTTAGGTACGTCAGTTTATGTCTATATTCCATTTTTTGATGTTACAGTGACTGTATTAACAGGGATTATCTCATTAATCTTATCTAAAATATTATATGCAATAATTTTATGGAATTTAAATGTCATTTTTAATTTATTTTATAAACCTCATAACTTGTTTCCGAATCCATTATCTATTGTGTTTATATGTTATACTTGTATATTGATTGCTACCTGAGTTTTATACTGTAAAGAAGGATTTAATGAACATTTGTCAACCAATCTAGTGTATTGCTTTCAACACTTGTCTAGATCAGGCAGGCCTCTGTCTCGGCTACTTGGTTAGATAATATTTATCAGAATATATAAATATGATGGAAAATGAGCTCACATCATTGCTCCTTGAAACTTATTTTAGTATCCTACTTTTCTGTTGATATGAGGTTATTCGTTGCAGTAATTATACTGATATGCAGCTATTTGATATGAGGTTATTCGCTGAAGTAATTATACTGATATGCAGCTATTTGATATGAAGTTATTCGCTGCAGTAATTATACTGGTATGCAGATATTTGATATGAGGTTATTCGCTGAAGTAATTATACTGATATGCAGCTATATGATATGAGGTTCTTCGCTGCAGTAATTATACTGGTATGCAGCTATTTGATATGAGGTTATTCGCTGAAGTAATTATACTGATATGCAGCTATTTGATATGAGGTTATTCGCTGAAGTAATTATACTGGTATGCAGATATTTGATATTGGGTTATTGGTTGCAGTAATTCTACTGATATGCTTGAGCAAAGCTCTTTTCCGGTAACACAGGAGCGTAATTAAATCTGCCACCACAGACTGTTAATTAAAAATTTTTTTAGACTGGAACCGGATACACTGCACAAAAATGGCAATGAGCATGCCAACTTACCAAATCTCGCCCAAGCGAGATTACGCGACTCATTGAAATTTTTTATGACGCATTTAATCAATGGCGTCACATATATTCTGACGTCAATGAAAATAATTCTCACACATTTTTGTTCCTTTTTTTAAAAAAATTAATCATACAAATTAGATCTAAATTAAATTAAATTTAGAAAAACAAGATGATTTAACATTACTTGTACACTTGAGAAACTTAATTATGAAGGTTTTATATTTAACAACAATCACACCAGCTTCGCTCAACTCATACAGGCAATGCCTGTTACATATTATTGGGTTATCATTTGATAATACTGGGTATTATTTATTGTCATTTTTGTCATAATATATGCAAACATATTTTAAATACTCTCGTCATTCAAATATCATGGTTCGAATCAGTCAAGAATCTGGTCTGAATAACCCAAGAATATGTGAAACACCTTTTCCGTGATTTAGCTCTTTGGTTTTGAAGTAATCAATCAATTACACTATTGATTGTCACTTTTGACATATTATTAAATATATGGAAACATATTTTAAATACAAATAATGGTCCGAAATGTGCCAAAAATCTGGTCCGAATCAGCCAACAATTTGGTCCGAATCTGCCACGAATCTGGTCCGAATCAGCCGATTACCCTGAACACCAACAATTCTCTACACATGCACAATAGTATAGACATAGGCTATTAATTATTATAGGTGTAATATGAATGAACACCGAATTCAAAAGCATATCCAGAAAGAAGACAGAGATAAAGAATATAGAAAATAAAGAACAAGATTAAGAACTCTGGCGGCCTACTAAAAGAACTCTGGCGGTCCCCTACTGTACTAATAAATTATACTAAGTTAACTGACACTGTAACTGTAACAGTGACTGAGTGAGTGATTTTAAGACAGGCCAGGATATAGAGCAGGAGCCCAGGGGGTCAACCTAGCTGAAAATTGTACCAATTTTCGCATATATGGTCTCAAAGCATGCATATCTGGTATCATTAAAATGTAAGTCTGCCGGGTATCTGGTGGTGGGTGTGGCTGTGAGGGCTTCGATACTGGGTATGGATTCTTGAGCTAGATTAGCTCAAAAGTGTACCACATGAAAATGGTACGGCAGTGTACCGTACATCTTCAAGTATTACAAAAACACTCTGACAGACATTTCTAGTGGTGGGGTACCCCCCGACAGATTTATGTAATTGCCAAACCACAGCTAAGCTAGATTAGCTGAAATCTGTACCACTTAAAACTGCCTGGAAGTTGTTCAGCACCACCACAGGAATCAAGAATGATCACTGCCAGACAATTTGTGCGGTGGGTTACCCCGACAGACACGCCGAAAATAACGCCCAAAATTCCCCGCCCCGCAACTAGGCTAGATTAGCTGAAATATGTACCACTTATAACTGCTTTGGTGCTGTTCAGCACCACCAAAGGAATCATGAATGATCACTGCCAAACAGATTGTATGGTGGGTTACCCCTAACAGACACGCCCAAAATGAAACGTTTCGCAATTAGGCTAGAGTGACTGAAGTGTGTACCACTTAAAACTGCTTGGAAATTGTTCAACACCCCAGGGATCACACTGCCCATTGCTAGAGGGTTTGTTTGGTGGGGTTCTCCCAAGAAACACGACAGCCAAGCGCCCCCTCCCAAAAATTTGGCTTTTATCAGCTGGGTTAGACTTATTGAGAATTCTGGGTATTACATATTTTCATGAGTATGTAATATCTATTAAAGATTAAGTAATCGTATGAAGAATAATAAGTAGTGGTTCAACTCAGTGACCACTGACATACGAACCATAAAGTCCAGTTGCCAAACCCCATTTTAAGCCTTGACATGGAAATATAGCCCACCTAATGTTTATTGGTGGATTATATATCTTCTATATGTGTAGATTCAGAATTGGGGAAATTTATATATTCAAATGGCCGACATGAGGCGGTTTCTGGTTGTTTAGTGGGGTAAAATATGTGGCAGCTGCTCTCGGACCTCGGTTTGAATATGTTTCTAGAAGAATTCGACCCGCTGAATCCAATGAGCTAGGGTATTCCTCCTGAAAGTGATGGCTAATTCCGCTAGAGGGCCAAATTCAAAATGGAGGCTCATTTTAGAGGGAAACTAATAAAGTTCACTAAAAAGATGTGCAATATATTGAAATGTAGGTTTTGAGTGGATTATATGTCTTTAATATGTGTAGATTCAGAATCTGGGTAATGCCACCCTGGCACCCTTCGGAAAATTTAAATATTCAAGATGGCCGACATGAGACATTTTCTGGTTATTTACTTTAATTTAGTTGGGTAAAAGTCGGGACAGATTCTCTCGGACCTCGGTATGAAGCTGGTTTCCATCGTAATTTGACCCACTGAATCCAATGAATTTTGCTATTCCTCCTAAAAGTGATGGCTTATTCCGCTAGGGGGCCAAATTCAAAATGGAGGCTTATTTTGGAGGGAAACCCATATAGTCCCCTAACAAAGGTGTGCAGTATATTAAAATATAGGTTTTCAGTGTCAGTTACTTCAGATATAAACATAAAAACATATTCCGACCAAAAGGTATTCCAGGTTGAGGTCATAATCAAAATGGCGGCCATTCGCCGAATTCATAGAGCGAATTGTCAAGCATACATTATGATTCACTATGACACCCTCTCTACCAAAAAAAACAGAGGGGAAGAAGGGATGGATAATGTTTGCCAACCTCAGCTTTACCGGCGCGTATGAGTGACCTAATAACTGTCAAGACAAGGTTCACCCCCATTGCATAATAATGATGAACGCGGAAGAATCAGACTGTTATACTGATTCAAGTATTCCAGTGATTCAAGCGAGCGTAAGTTAGAGTTTTACATGAGGTTCGACAAGCCAAAGTTAGCTTTTATACACATTTGCTTTTGACTCACGATGGACCGATGGTTGATTCTGTTTGACCGTGTATAATTTGTGTCCTTATAAGAATACAAGGGACAGAATATCATCAGATTGGAATACCTTTTGGTCGAAACATGTTTTTTTATGTTTATATTTGAAGTAATTGACAACGAAAACCTATATTTCAATATATTACACGCCGTTTTAGGGAACATTATAAGTTTCCTTCAAAAATGAGCCCCCATTGTGAATTTGGCTTCCTACTGGAATTAGCAGTAACTTTTAGGACGAACACCCAAGCTCGTCGGATTCAATGGGTCAAATTCTTATAGAAACTATTTTCATACCAAGGTTCGAGAGAATATCTCCCGAATTTTACCCCACTAAATTAAAGTAAATAACCAGAAAATTTCCTCAGCTTTCCTTCAGCTTATGTAGCCTTGTTGCGGGGCGTGACATTTTGGGCTTTTTGTCATTGGTACCCCACGAACAAACTGTCTTGTAGTGGTCATTCTTGATTCCTGTGGTGGCGCTGAACAACCTCCAGTTTTAGGTGGTACCGACTTCAGCTAATCGATCCTAGTAGCGGGGCGTGGCAATTTGGATGGTCGTCAAGGGTACCCCACCGCACAATCTGTCTGGCAGTGGTAATCCATGATTCCTGAGGTTTTGCCGAACAACGTCCAATTAATTGTAGATCGTACGGACTAGCCTAGCCTAGTTGGGGGAGAGAGGTCATGGTATTTTGGGTTTGACTGTCAGGGGTAACCCATCACACAAACTGTCTGGCTGTGGTCATTCTTGCTTGATGTGGTGGTGCTGAACAACTTCCATGCAGTTTTAGGTAGTACAGGCTTCAGCTAGACTAGCCGAGTTGGGGGCGTGGCATTTTTGGCGTGTCTGTTAGTGTTAGGGGTAACCCACGGCACAAACTGCCTGGCAGTGATCATTCAGGATTCCTGTGGTGCTGAACAACTTCCAAGCAGTTTTAGGTGGTACGGGCTTCAGCTAATCTAGCCTAGGTGGGGAGGGGCGGGTCTGGCATTTTGGGATGTGCGTTAGGGGTAGCCCACCGCAAAAACTGTCTGGCAGTGATCACTAATGATTCCTGTGGTGCTGAATGACTTCCAAGCAGTTTTAGGCGGTACGGATTTAAGCTAATCTAGCCTAGCTGGGATCATTGATCATTCATGATTCTTGTGGTGGTGATGAACAACTGCAAAGCAGTTTTAAGTGGTACAGATTTCAGCTAATCTAGCCTAGCTGTGGTCTGGCAATTAGATACCTCTTTCGGGGGTACCCCACCACTAGAAATGTCAGTCAAAATGTTTTTGTAATACTTGAAGATGTAAGGTACACTGCTGTACCATTTTCATGTGGTACACTTTTGAGCTAATCTAGCCCAAGAATTCATGCCCAGTATCGCAGCCTTCACAGCCACACCCACCACCAGATACCCGGCAGACTTACATTTTGATGATACCAGATATGCATGCTTTGATACCATATCTGGGCTCCCGGTCTAATATAAATATTATCAATTTAGATCTACTGAAAATGTTTATATAAAATATAAAGGAAGAAGAACCGACATACTTGGGTTAGTTTCTTTCTTAGAAGAAGCTGCGTGTCCCATGATTACGGGAAGGATAAACAATACATTTAATTATCATTAAAACCCCATAAAATTATTATTATAGGCTTCTATCCATATCCGCTTTGTTTACAAAGTATCCATGATTAAAACGTCACTAAATGTGTGCTCAGAAATGTATGACGTCGACAAATAGGTTGTTCAAAGGGAGGCAAGTCTTAAATTTGAGTAGCCTCCCTTGTATTGCCCAGTCAGCCCCACCGTTCTCTTTTTTAGACATACTACTACACCGTTTCTCGAAATCTTAACTAAAGATAAAGTCCAAATTTTAGTAGACACTTCAATTTTGATTGGCTAAGCACTAAAATCAATCTAATATTATCCAATCAAATTACTAAAATTTGGATTTTATCTCAGTTAAAATTTCGTGAAACAGGTCCCAGCTCATGATCTATATATAGATCAGTGCATACATGATATTTACTATTATTACTAAACTTTCTGTCTGTCTGCAGTTAGCTCGTTTTGAGAACAGGCACTAAACTAGATGACCGACTTTTTAAGTCATAAATCGACAAGTTTAGTCGAAAACACTAAGTAAACTTTTAGAATTTAGGCTAGTTAAGTATCTATTCTACTTCCATTTAATAAAAGTGAAAACAGTTTATTTAAGCAGTGTGTGTAGGCCTATGTAGGCCTCCCAGCGGGCACAGAACGTTGTGACAACGTTTTTCAGAGGTTGTATCACAACGTCTGAAATAAGTCAGCTGTAGGTTGTTTTGCAACAAACTCTTACGTTGTGACAACGTTGTACGGACGTCAAAGCAACATTGTCACAACGTTGTGTGGTGGTTGACGAAAAGTTGTGTGGTGGTTGACGAAAAGTTGTGACAACGTTGTACGGACGTCAAAGCAACATTGTCACAACGTTGTGTGGTGGTTGACGAAAAGTTGTGACAACGTTGTACGGACGTCAAAGCAACATTGTCACAACGTTGTGTGGTGGTTGACGAAAAGTTGTGACAACGTTGTACGGACGTTCAAGCAGCATTGTCACAACATTGTGTGGTGGTTGACGAAAAGTTGTCACGACGTCAGAATTTGTTGTTTTGCAACGTTGTGTGGTGGTTGGCGAAAAGTTGTCACGACGTCAGAATTTGTTGTTTTGAGGTTGTATAAAACCCAGTATAAGCCCCATCCGAACTCCCTACAGTTCTGCCCCTACTGGACTAACGAAGACGGGAATAGGCGGCCGGGCAGGATGGAAGTTAAATTAGGTGTGTGTGCGGGGAAGGGGGGGGGGGGGGGCTTAAATGCCCGACAGATTTGGGCCACGGTTTTGACATAGTGAAACGATACGCGAAGTTTCAACACTCTCACTCAATTAGAATCAAAGTTATTGTGTCCCATCACAACCAATCTAATTGCTTCTTTCTGAATAAAATCAGTATCAATTAATAGGACAATACGTAGTTTCAAAACATTCAATTCAAACGATTATATTACAGACAATATTAACTTTGCAGTAATGGGTAAAGGTAATAGAATCTGATCATTAAATTTTAAGTAATGGTCATGTAATGAGTAATGGAAGATTTCAAAAGTAATGAGTAATGGAAATGTAATTAATTACATTCCGAAAATCATGTAATGGTCAATTACATTTCAATTACATTTAATGGCGCATTTTTGAATGGCATTTAGTAATTGGAACATAATCAAAAAACACACTTGTATGGAATAACAATTACTATGGTTTATTTCACTGCAACGTTTCAACAAGATTTCACAAGTCATTTTCAAGCATATATATACAAATAAATAAAATGAGAAAGATATGAATATATATATAAACATCAGTATGCAAGGAAGGTGAACATGAGTAGCTATCACAAGCTATTGATGAAACAACGGTAAATAATCGTATATACTAGGATTAACTCATTATACAATTAAAAGATCAAACAGAGGATTGTTGAGATGTACTGAAACCATACACATTATACTATATAATTGAAACCAGTTTAAAAGAAAATAAGGCATAGATCTATACATGATTAACTAAATATACATTCATAAAAGATCAAACAGAGGATTTACAGAAATATATTAAAACCATACTCTTATGCATTCAGTGATAACTAGAGTTTTAAAAGAATATAACAAGGAAACATATTTAATGTTATTACATTTTATTACTATTTAAAGATTAGTGCTAATTTAGCATTTAATCAATCAGATTTAAAGACATGGTAAAACTATTGTCTTTAAATCTGATTGATTAAATGCTAAATTAGCTCTAATCTTTAAATAGTAATAAAATGTAATTATTTACTTTCAATGTAATGGGTAATGGTAATGAATGATATTGCTAAAAATGAGAAAGTAATTGTAATGCAATTGGTACCGTAATAATAATAAAAATTTATTTATTTATAAAGCGCCTGTTACCAATATAAAACACTGCTCAAAATGGCTTATAAAGATTATAATAAAATATGACATGTAATAAACAAATTAAAACTGTACATGTACTTAATTGGTCCCTCTTCTGTCGGGTGCATATTTTAGATGAGCCGAAACTGCTGTTATTATCTCGGCTTCCTTGCAGCTCGGCTGACTGATCATTACACTATCTGAAGAATACAAAAAAACTGTATATTTACTCTGTCAAATTTTGTAAATTATATAATTGAGTCCGATCAAAAAGGTCGTCTTAAAGCTGTAACAGATAATTCTGCATCCCATGAATTATGGAGCAAAGGTGGCTAATTGGGTAAAACGCTGGCTCGCTTGTCTGGAGGTCGCATTTTCGATCCCTACATTTGCCGAGAAAGTTCAGTAGGCCTGACAAGGACAATTCGTTTGGATGGTATGAAAAACCGAGGCCACGTGTACACATTGACGTGCAAGTAAAAGATCTCTTTGGCAGTTGGAATTCGATATAAGAGTAGGCCATAGTGCCGCGGCCCGGGCAAAATTTCCATCATAGCACGCGGTATGGCTCATGCCCGTCTTCATTAGCCTAGTCGGAGCAGAACAGTAGGACGTTAAACCCCATATGAATTATATTATATATGACCCAATAACACATTCTATATGAGACATCGCTTGTGTTATAACTTTCATATTCTCCATGAATTTGTACGTGTAAGAAAGGCTTGGGTGTAAATTACAAAAAAAAAAGATCAATACTCATCGATGAAGTAATAAAAACTCCTGTATGCCCATACCATGTTTGATTATCCGATATTTAAGGATATGTTCGTAAATTGAGTATGATAAAAACAAACCTTGGACAACTTTGTAAATTTCTAAGTCCATTATGGACCGCCTCCCTTTATTTCCCTTTAAATTAAATTGGGCCATTAGGGAATTAGACATCAACCTGTTAAAATAAAAAGACATACTGTTTATGCGTTTGACAATACCACGAATTTTGACTTTCCATTCCTTGACACCTAGAAATGGACATAAATGGGTTGCAACGCATATAATAATGTAATATGAATGTATATTAACTGATTTACATTCAATCGTTTCTGTTTTTACTGTAATGTCTAATCAGTTATGTTCGGCGAAATACGCGAAGAGAGAGAGAAATGGGGTTTAACGTCCACTTGACACAAACTAGGTCATTTCGGGACTAACACATGGTTCAATTTTATTTCAATAATTCGCTAGCGCGTAGGGGGTCTTTTTAGCAGTGGGACGAAACCTGAGGACCCGGAGAAAACCCACCAGGTTGGACAGGCGACCCAACTCCTTGTCACGTACAACCGGGGAAAAAAACGGTTAAAAAAAATTACAAACCGATATTCGTTTTCATATCATATTTGACATTCAAAACCAGGAATGGTAGCCAAAAATGTTTTCATTCACTAAAGACTATATAAATAGTTCATACAGCACGAGTGCATATATCACTTGTCATTTGTAATATATCACAAGTTTTGTATACGTTACATTACTATTAACACTCCCTGCAAAGCTTCATGAAATTGGTAACCCTATACATTTAAAGATAATAGATACTGGGAAAGTCCATTATACAATACTATAAATATTGTAATGGCCCCTTCCAATTCCAGACATAGATTGAAATAGCTCTTTCTAAATCCAGACATAGCAATTAACCAAAAACTAAATGATTAAAATGCAATACAATTATAAAATAAAAACACTAAAGTTTCAAAACTAAAATAAATCATTTAAGAGGTAATAAAACATATTTAAAATACTCAATTTACTTTGCAAGGAGGGTTCAATAATGAAATGACAATAGAAGTTCGGCTACCAGTAGAAAATAATCTACAATTACCGAAACAATTAATTCTTTTATATCATAATTATTTCTAAATGGACACAAAATGTTAATTAATCGTAACATACCTAATTTTCAACTTTTACGCCTTCTAGCAACTTATAAAACTCAATAGTTTATCACAGCTCTAATAAAGCAGCCATGTTTGGCTAGGATTCCTTTTTGGCGGAAAGATGTTTAAATTTGATTGGACCAACTGTCAACCTTGGGTGTGTTTTAAAATAAAATATGTATAAGATAATTAATCTTGACCTTTATTGGGTTTTTTTATATACCGGTACATTAAATATAGATATTTTGCAATTAAGTTATGAACGTAATTAAGTTTTAAAGGTGTATTAAACCTTTAATAAATGTTTTTAAAATTTTTTTTTACCTATTCATTGCGGGTTCTTTATAAACGTTTCATAAACGTTAAAAAAAAAAATCATATTTACGGTACTACGTTTTAATGGAAAATTTTGAAAGAAAACATCAATTATGAACGTTATCTAAACATATTATATTAAACATTTTTATCAATATTTATCGAAAACTTCTGAAAAACATACACTTAAAACATTTAAAAAACGTTTGATAAATATTTTTTTTTTACATAACCTTTTAGAAACAAAAAAAAAATAACAAAAACAAAAACAAAAAACGTTTTTAAAATATTTTGTGCTTGCTGGGATTCACTTAGACCTGTAATTAATTAAATAATGGCCAGGTTTCACACTTATATATACTGAGCGCCATGGAAAACGCATCACTTAGTTTTTCGTATAACAAAATGATCCTGTAAACATATCTTATTTATTTTGCTTCTTATTGTGAACAATATTCAAATGGGAACACATCAA